TGCTTTTCCAGGCTCCTTGCATTTGGCGGGACCTCACCATTCAGAAAATTGTTTTTCTTGGTTTCTGAGGATGCCCTGCAACTGGTGAACAAAGTGCTCCTCAGAGTTGCCGTCTCCTCCAACTCTGGGCTACCAGGAGAGTGGAGCCCTCACCCCTGAGGGTGCCTCCTGTCCGAAGGTGCCATCCCCCAGCCGGGCTCCCTCTCTCCCTGTCTGTCCTTGAAGTTTGGGGCTGGCCACAGCCAATATCTCCAATATTCAGGCAGAAATCTCTCTCTTTTTTTGGCCCTGGGCTAGAATACCCCACTGGCTCCAGGGAATAAGATTAAAAAGTGGTGGTGAAGTCACTCAGTCATGTCCAACTCTTTGCAATCCTATGGGCTATAACCTGCCAGGCTCCTCCATCCATGGGATTTTCCAGGCAAGAACAGTGGAGTGGGTTGCCATTTCCTTGTCCAGGGGATCTTCCCGACCCAGGGATTCATTCCAAGTCTCCCACATTGCAGGCAGTCCACCACTTCCAGTTAAATTGGGGCTTCCCTGGTAGCTCAGCTGGTAAAGAATCTGCCTGCAATGCAGGAGACCCTGGTTTGATTCTTGGGTCTGGAGAAGGGATAGGCTAACCCACCGGTATTCTTGGGCTTCCCTGGTGGCTCAGATGGTAAGAATCTGCCTGCAATGTGGGAGGCCTGGGTTTGATCACTTGATCAGGAAGATCCCCTGGAGGAGGACATGGCAACCCACTCCAGTATTCTTGCCTGGAGAATCCCCATGGACAGAGGAGCCTGGTGGGCTACAGTCCATGGGGTCACAAAGAGTTGGACACGGCTGAGCGACTAAGCATACACAGCACACCAGTTAAATACTTGAGAGTGCCCCTACCCCTCGCTGCTTCCCTCAGGCTCCCAGGACTGCCCCTGTCTAGCCCTCTTCCCCATCCTCTCCTCCCCAGCCCCTCCCAGCCCCTGCCCTACACAACCAGAAAGCTGCATGACTCTGTGCTGGTCCCAGGAGCCCTCAACTGGCCTTTCCCACGTGTGTCAGCAAGGTGGCCTTTGATCATTTTACCTCTCAGCAGTGTTTCCTCTCTTGTAGTGGATGTGATCACATGCAGGAAACACTCCCCTGGAGTTTACTGTGTGCCCAGGACTGTTCTCAGTACTTCATCAGCATTAACTCATTAAATCCTCAGATCAACCCAATGAGAAAGATTATGATCATCAACTTTATTTTACAGATAAGGAACCTGAGTCACAAGGAGGTTAATTAACTTTCCTGGGGACACTCGGCTAGTAAGGGAGCTGACCATGTGATCTGGCCCCATGGGCAGGGTGACAGGTCACACTTACTGCACCCAGTTTCTGCCTGACACCCACCCGCCTCCCCTATACCCCCAATTCCAGCTCTCCCAAACATCTGGCCCAGACAGCCCCATCTTTGAGCCCAGCAACTCGCCTGAGGACTAACCCCTGGCCAAGACCTGAGTGCAACATGCAGAGTTCCTGGTGCATGAAATGAACACACATCTGCTTCGAACCCACTATCTGATGGAAACCTTTGCTCTGGACATGCTATGGCAGCCGCCCATGTGCCACCCCATCTTCAAGGTAAGGGACCCTGCCTCTCAGTGTCCAGAGCTGCGGGGGACCTGGAGCTGCCTCATCTAACCTCAGACTCGTTCTCCCCAGCTGCTCATTCCTCATCTCCACTGCATTTCCACATCAACCTTTATGGCTGCACTAGGCTCTTTGCACCAGGAAAGTTCAGCTGACCAGGTCAGGCCTGGGATTCTGGTGGTCAGCAGAGAAAGCTAGGAAGGGGCCAAGGCTGGTCCTGAGTCCCTTGCTCCTGGAAGCTGTGGACTGTCTGCTCATTACAGATAATGTCAGTGGGACCGCTGGGCAGCCTGGAACTGATGGCCAAAGAGCTGGAAACTCACCTACCGTTCCCTCTGCCCTACCAACTGGCTGACCATGAGGTTCAGGACCTTGCCAACTACTATTACTGAGACAACGAGCTCTGCATCTGGGCAGCCATAGAGAGGTGAAGCTCCCCAGACCCTGAGGGCTCCACACCTCACCCTTGGCTCCATCTGTCTTGGTTTGTTCTTTGACTTCTTCTCCATCTTCTCCCCAGACACACTGCTGTCTTACAGTCCTTTCCTGCCTCCACTTCCTTCCTAGCTGTGTGACTTTAGGCAAGTCAGTTAACCTCTTTGTGTCTGAGAAACACTGGGCTGGATGAAGCACAAGCTGGAATCAAGATTGCTGGGCTGGATGAAGCACAGCTGGAATCAAGATTGCTGGGCTGGATGAAGCACAGCTGGAATCAAGATTGCTGGGAGAAATATCAATAACCTCAGATATACAGATGACACCACCCTTATGGCAGAAAGTGAAGAAGAACTAAAGAGCCTCTTGATGAAAGTGAAAGAGGAGAGTGATACTGAGTGACTGAGCTGACTGAACTGTTTTCTCAGCTGAAAATGGAGCTGATAGGAGACCTAACTCAAAGGTTATTATCAGTATTAAATGTAAACCCCTTAGCACAAATCACAGGTGAATATGATATGCTCTTTGAGCATTAGCTATTATAATTATTCTGCTCAAAAACAGTTGCCTTGTCTCTAGACTTCCGTTCTAAGTCTCCTTCACTTGGAGACCTCCTTGGGATGTCCCTCTCTCCCTCTGGTGTTTTAGATGTCTGGCTTCTTTTTGGGTCCCCATCCCTGCAGTTCTTGAGCATAACCACCTCCCTTGGGCACTGGGCTCTGTGATGGCTCTACTTCATGAGCCTCACTTGGCTTCATTTTTCGTCACATGAAAGGAAAGTTTCACATGGCATCTCTTCCCTAGAGGCTTCCCCCTACCTTCCACTTTTCCTGCTCAGCATACATGGACCCTAGGGAGGCTAGGCACCCTGATTCTCTCTCTCTCCCTATCCAAACACTGCCTCTTGCTCAAGCCTGGCTTATACACCCGTCCCCTTGAAGTCCTCAGGGACTCCCCACAATGAATTTGCAAGCTGGAGGTGCCCTTGTCAGAGCTCTTCTTAGCAATGGCTCTTGGACTGTGCCATGGCTGGGGGTGGACGCGGTGGTGAGTGGGGCAGGCCCTGCTCTGCCCTTTGGGAACTAGCGGGGAACATGGACAGCAGCATCCCTGTCTCAAGAGAGGGGCCTGGGGTCCAATCCTTCTTCGTGGTTTGATGTGGCCTAGATGACTGGAATGCCGAAGCCTACAGGGCCCGTGAGCAGGAAAGAGGGTGGACAGAGACTGGCTAGCTGGCCACTCACGTTTCTCAGATGAGGACAATGGTGACTCAACTATGACTAAAATGAGAGCTTTAGATTTTTTTTGAGAGAAACCAGTCATTTTCTAATATTTAAATGTTGGCCACAGATTCAACTTTAAAAAGAAACCAAAAACCTTGGTAGTCAGTCAAAACACAACTGCAGACCAACTATGGCTCTCAGCGCCCTAGTAGAGACCGAAGCCTCCAGGCTTGAAGCTCGGCTGGGCGCTTCCTAGAATGTGCAGTTTCCCGTTTTCCTTCTCTGGCCTCAGTTTCCTCCTGTTAGAGCAGCTGGTTTCAGTGGCCTCTTCCAACCCCCACCCCGGGGCAGCACAGGCTCCCAACTGTGTCACCACATACTTCTGCCCCCCTCCCATCGTTGGCATCTACTACCCCGACAACCATGCTGTGAGCAAGGAGTCAGAGCTGCAGGCCTGGGTCAGGAAGATCTTCCAGAAGGAATTTCTTAGCCACATGAGCTCAGATGAAGAGTTCACACCTGCCAGCCACCGTTGAGACCCCACTTTCACAGGACAGCAGACCTCGGGTTTCAGCTCTGCTGCCTCCGCCCTGTCTCTATCCAGTGGCGTCTTCCAGCCTGGACAGCTGTGCTGACCTGATCGAGTTTCTCACCATGACCATCTTCAGCTGCTCAGCCCAACACATTGCTGTCAATACTTGTCAGGTGAGGGGAGACTTTGTGGGGGGACAAACCAGGTCATGGGGGATGTGGGCCTAGCAGGAGCCCTGGCAGCCCTGTGCTTACTGAGTCTGGGGGTGTCAATTTGATTTCAGTGGCTGGATGCCCAATTCTCCCAACATCATCTGGCTCCCCCTGCCTACCTCCAAAGGCCACAGCCCGACAAGCCTGGTGGCCTCACTCCTGAGGTCAACATCACATACCACTCCCTTGAGCTCTTCTGGAGTGTCAGCGATGAAATGAAGAACACTGTAAGGTCCAGGGTGGGGTGGGGTGGGGTGGGATCTCAGGTTCCCAGAGAGTGAGTAGGGTGAAGAAAGGCTGCTGGGGACACTGCATTACTTGGAGGGTGCATGAGCAGACTGGGCTTCTTGGGGGGCGGGGCCTGGAGTGATGTAGTTGGGGGGGTGTGGTTTAGGGTGGCAGGGGCTCTGAGTAGGTGGAACTTAGAGTGGTCTGGGTTTCAAAGGGCTCATGGCTTGGGAGGTCTGGGTAGGCTGGATGGAGGGTGTTCTTTTGCCTAGACTGGATGGGAGGCTTATGTTTCAAGTTGAATGGGTCTTGGGTGGTCTGGGTTCTTAGGTAGGTGAGTGGGACTTGGGTGGTGGTTTGTGCCCTTGGGTGAATTTTCTGGTGGTCTGGGGCCCAGGGGACTCCAGGTGGATCAGAATAGCTTTTGGTTGAAAGATGGGGCCGAGGTTTGTGGGTCAGGAGCTCCAGCCTTCTCTCCTGCCGTCCCCAGCGGTGCCTGGGCATCTACCCTGATGAGCACTTCACCGAGGAGGCCCCGAGGATGAAGACTTCTGTCTTCCACAGCCACCTGACCTATATCTCACGGGACACCCGGGAGCAAAACCCGGGCCTGGCGCTGCTGTATGAATACCTGGACCAGGCTTTAGTGGGAAAAGCATCACCTTGTGAGTGCAGCGCGCCCCAGCCCAGGCGTGCACCCACAATAAACACAGACACAGACCCCGGGCTTGTGTTTGCAGTGATTTTATTGGAAAACAGGCGGGTGCAAGGCAGGAAAGGGGAGTGGAGAGGGGCTGTGCTATATAGAAATGCTGTTCTCGATCAGCATGGGGTCCAGGTAGTAGTAGGGGATGGGGAGACACTTGTTGCGTTGGCGGATGTTGTGTGAGATCTGGGCCAGACGTTGGCGGAGGGTCTCTATGCTCCTCCGCGGGGCCTCCTCCACGAAGTGGATGTCCGGGAAGTGGCCCAGGGGCCGCTGCGGGCACAGAACCAGGCGGCTGGAATGGAGCCCCACCCCTTCAGCCCTTCCCCTTCAGCAGCCTCCCTCCCTGCCTCTTGCCCTTGACACCCCCCTCTCGTTGGGCTCCCAGCTCCCCAGCCGCCTGCCTCTGCTCAGAGGTTCCCCACCCCCACTTGCACCCCCGGGCCCAGGACACCTTGTCATCGGGCTCCCGACTGAGTGTCCAAAGCACCAGTAGGATGATGCATGTGGTCTTAATATCCGGCAATGTGTCAAGAAAGGTCTCCAGCGTGGTCAGCCCCTTGGCCTGTATTGGTGGGTTCCGCATGGATGAGGGGAAGTTGGGCATCCAGGCGGTGAATTCCAACTGGAGGTGGAGTAGAGAGGGGCTTCTGGGTCAGAGGTCTCTGGGTCAGAGACCCTTGGGTGTCGATGGAGGTGGGGATTGAACTGGGGACTCTGGTTGAGACAGATCTGGGCCAGACTGGGGATTATGGCTGAGGCAGAATTCAGATGTTAGGGCTGGGATTAAGGTCAAGTCTGGGCCTGGGGCAGGGGCTGGAGCGTCCAGGTACCTGCCCTGTGTTGACAGCTGCATGCTTGGCAGAGCAGGTGTAGATGACAATGGTGACATATCGGATCAGTTCAGGCACAGTTCGCAAGCATGTGGGGAAGCCTGGTGGGAGGGCAGGTGCAGGCGGGTAAGGCCCAGGCCACATCAGTGCTGCCCAGGTCCTGGCTGGCCCACAGAGGGCATGGCCAAGCCCAGCTCACCTTGTTCTTCCAGCACTCCAGGCTGCCCCCAACCTGCCTGTTTGGCCCTTGTTTGGCCACAAACCACCCCCACCCCCAAGGTAGGGTTCAACTGGGCCTTGGCCAAATGTCCTCAGGGGCTTCTCCAAATTGCTTCTCTTTCCTGTGCCCCACCTGAGCACCTAGCTCTGGTTGCCATGGTGACCCCAGGTTCCAAAAGCCCAACACATTCAAACCAGACCTGTCATCTTCCTCCTTCAACTGTTCCTCCTTCCAGGCCCCCAGCTCAAAGAATGATACACACCATCCACCCAGTTTCAAAAGCCCAAAACCCAGGAGTCACCCTTGGCTCCTCCCTCCCACCACTCAGCCCCCACTGACAAACCCAAACCAGTCAGCAAGTCCTATCATTTCTGTCTCCCAACTAGCTCTGGCATCCTCTTCATCCCCAGAGCCCCTTCCCAGGGCAGGTCCCTGTCATCTCCCTCCTGGACACCACAGAAGCTTCCCAAACTGTTCCCTGACCACCAGTGCAGTCTGACATCCTACTGTGTACGTTTCATCTCCCCAGACACCCCTCGACGGCTCCCTCTGAACTCAGAGGAGTTCCAGACTCCTTAACCAGGCTGCAGCACCCAGCCCCTGCTCCTGGCTTCAGCCTCATCTCACAGGAGGCTGCCCCACTCCCCCCGCCCCAGAACCCCAGCTGCAGGGACTTATCAGCAGTCCCAGAACTGACTCTGCTCAGTCTGGCTTTCAGGCCTTTCCACATGCAGCTCCCAAGACAGGACTCTCCAACCCCACCTCTGTCATCACCTGGCTGACCTCCCATCATGCAAATCTTAGCTAGATCTTAGCTTGCTGCTACACACCCCTCACTCTCTACCTGCCAGCCCTCCCCAACCTGGGGTAGGTTCCCCCGCCCCACGCTGGGTTCCTACAGCCCCTTCCTGGCTTCCCCACAAATGATGGGGGCCAAAGCAAAGAAGGGGGCCATCAGGCCTCAGAGGTCCCACCCAGAGTGTGAGCACATGTGTGATCCCCACACACATTCCAGACCTTATCCCTAAGCCCCAGGAGGGCACCCCTGGTCCTTAAAAGCTCCCCAGGCTCCCTGTAACATCCCAGGGTATGTCCACCTCAAGTACCACCCACTGCTGCCCTGAGCTCACCTCTCCAGTGCATCCCACACTGCCAGGCTGTCCTCCCGGTAATAATACCCTGGCAGGTCCTGAACCCCACGTCTCACGAAGTCATCGGGGAGGTAGAGGTTTTCGTACTTGATCTCCGACAGAGCCCGCACCATCGCCTCGGCAAAGCCCGACAGGCCCAGGGACATACTCTGTAAGGGACCAGGCAGACCCTGGAGCACACTGTCTGGGGATCCTCGCACTCAGGCCCAGCACACCCAGCTCGGCCTCTGCAGCCGGGCAGACCCAGCACCCGTCTTAACTGGTCCCCTCCCTCCGTGCCCACTCATGATCTAAAGGCAGCTGGGAAGTTCAGCTTTAGTTGAACTGCAAAGGCCAGAAGGGAAACACATGTCTTGGGGGTTGGGGAAAGAAGTCTTACCCTGGCGGAGAGCCCCCCTTCATTAAGGAGGACAGCCCGCCCGATGCTGTTGATCTGGATGGTGTACCGGGTGTGGGGGATGAGGAGCTGTTGGGGGGAGCAAGGAAGATGATGAGAGAGGGCTGAAGTCATCCCCTGTAGAATGTCAGCACTCCCTGTTTCTGCAACATCAGACCCCCCCAACAGCCCCCCAAGCTGCCTCCCCAAGTCTAGCTGGAATCCTTCTGACTCCTTAGCAAACCAGGCAGCTTTCCGGGGCTAACTGAGGCCAGCGATGTTTCACAGAGGCCCCTTGGCCCAAGCCCATACCTTGTAGAGGGGATGGCACATGGGTAGCTGCCTCAGCAAGGCCAGGCAGAAGGCCTCAGCGATGAGGTGGGTCTCCAGCAAGTGGGAGATGCCCTCGTGGCAGTAGAACTCAGCATAGCGCACCCACGTCTTGGCCAGCAGCCAGTCCCACTCGGAGTCACTGGGCAGGAAGATGGGGCAGTTGGGCCCGGGGGTCTGGCTGAGCTGGGGGTGAGGAAGGAGAAAGTGTTAGATGAGAGCATAGACCCACATACACAAGGGCCCCCACTACATGAGGGAGGCAGAAGGGAGACCAGGGGGTGAAAACTCCAACCCCTACACTCCAGTCCTTCTGGTCCTCTGAGCACACCAAGGCCTTCCCTCCCTCTCACATCTGCTCCTGCTCTTCCCTCTGCCTGTGGTACCTTCCCCCATCCCTTCCTCTACCAGAAAGCTCCCACTCATTCCACAAGAACCAGCTCAAAAATCTGCCTCCTCTGAAAACCCATCCTTACCTCAATCCCATAGTCGCCACATTCAGCTGTGCAGGTTGTGCAGTGCACAAGGGTACCCAGCTCCCTAGGGGTTAGTGGTTCATTGAAATCTAGCCTGCACCGTTCCACTAACAAGCCAGGAGCATCAGAACTTGGCTGATCCCCACTCCCACCCCAAGGGGTGACTAATTCAGACATGATCCTGGTGGAAACCTTTGGGAAGAAAGCATCCCAGTTTCCCTTCCAGCCAGGCCACACTCTCGAGGCAGCGGCTACGTATGATTAGCACAATTTTTCTAGCAGATAAGTCACAGCAGGCATTGACTTATCAAGCAGGTGGATGAATGGAGTCAAAGAGACAGGCTTACTCCTCCCTGGTCACTTCTGTGCATATAGACACAGTAGCCACACTCTACACACTGGGGCTTACACACGAGTGCACCCACAGGGACCCAACTTTATGCAGCATGGGCATACAAGTGGCAGCACAAAGATGTACCCAGGAAGGGACCTTCAGAGACTCAGTCTGGTGCTTACAATACACCAGGCTCACCACTAGCCACACACACAGACAGGAACATATATAAACATAGGTGTATTCTTAGATGCACACACAGGAACATAGACTCACACAGGCACACAGGCCCACACAGAGATAATGCAGGTTCACACAGGCGCAATCCTTCACAAATAGATACACACATAGGGACATAAAATTAACATACACACACACATACACAGGCTGACCGACTGACCATAAACTCACACAGATAGAAGTATACAAGTACACACACCAGCCCATGCAATCACACATCTCTTCATGCACACACAGAGGCTTACCCGCTGGCCACACTCACACAGCCCCCACCCCCAGGCCTGCACCCCAGGCACCTGGATGGCAATAGGCAGGAGGTTCCCTTCCCGGCCAAAGTGCAGCAGGCAGAGTGGGGCGCAGTGGTACTGCTTCTGGCCGTTAAGTTCAACAGCGGGAATGCCCTCCAAGATGCGGTAGTCGGCTAGGTAAATGTTCCCCTTCTGGAGGGGAGCCGTGATGAGTGGACAGGTAGGCACCCCACACGTGGTACCCATGACCCACGCCTTGAGTGCAGGGTGCTCTGGCTCCCCAGGTGTGGGGTTGGCCAGGACCCGAGGTGGGGAGTGGGGTGGGGGGTGGGGGTCTGCCGAGGAGTAGGTGGGGAGAGACAGGGACGCCAGGAGAGAGGGAGGAAGGGAGGCTGTGGGGGGCTCAACTTAGAGCGGGCTTCACCTCCAGTTCCGCTTGTAGGCACGTTCCCTCGCCCAGGAAGGGGGCCACCATGTCGTCTGTGACTGGGAACTTGTCCGGTATCCGCGTGCAGCGGCAGAGCAGGCCTGGGTTGATGCCATTGAGGTACTGGTACCCAAAGAAGCTGTCCTCTGCCCAGTGCTCAGCCACGTACTCTGGGGGGACAGCGCGGGGACGTCACGACGCCACCCACTCCCCCTCAGGGTCAGAGAGGACGAGAGCTGAGGACCAGGAGGGAGGGAGGAAGGCCATGGACCACAGAGAAGAGGAAAACCAAGCTCCCGGCCTAGGGTTGAGCCGCCCAAGGGGAGCAGGGCGGCGTTTTCCGAGGAGCCGCCAGAGGGCGCGCTCGCCTGTGCGAATTCCGGCCTCGGATTCTCTGCGGCTCCCACCCCACATCCCAGGCGGGGGTCCTGCCTCCAAGCCCTCGGCTCAAGCACCTGGGGCCCGATCTCGTTCCGCTCCCCCGTTCTCTTTCCCACCCCATACCGAAGACGACAGATTTATTTCCAGGGAAAATTTTCTTAATGTCCTTCAGTTTCTTCCAGGACCGTTTGCTGTCCACCAGGCCGCGGAGTTTGAACCCCAATGCCCTATGACAGGGGATTGGAGGGGGAAGCCGTCAGAAACGGGGTCCAGTGCCCCTGGGACAGCGGTAGGGCTGCCCCACCCCCACCCCCAGGGTCTCTAGAGTCCCTGAGTCTGGGCGGGTCTCAGGGTCGCCCCGTGGCACAGCTCAAGGCCTTCCTATGTCTAGGTCTGCGAGTGTCACCTCTAAGGTTCCCTAACCCTCTCTTTCCGGCTCCCGCTGCCCTCCCGTCCATGCTGTGGTGGAGGCGGGCGTGGAGCAACAGTCTTTACAAGAGCCCTCGCACCCGCCCCTCACACACACTCACATGGGGCTCAGGCGGAAAAAGAAGGCGGCCGTCTTGGTGAAGGAGTAACGCAGATTTAAGTCCAGGAACTTGGTGGCCTTAAAGTTGATGAGAATCGGGAACCCGGGGATATAGCCATTCCACCTGTAGGTAGGAGAGCAGGGCTGGACATCTGGGGTCCAGGGCACAGGGAGGGGGCAGAGGGCAGGTGTCAGTCGTGGGAGGGGCCCTTGGGCAGCCCCAGGTCCTTACTCCGGCCGGTTGGGGTTTCTCCGGGCAGGAGGGCGGTAGCTGGGGATGTGTACGTAGTTGGGCAGGCCAGGAACAAAGACTCTCCAGCTGCAGACAGAAGCCGAGCCGGTTGGTCCTGATGGCCACGCACCATCCCAGGGCACAGCCACCGCTGGCCCCCTGACCTCCCGCAGCCCTTGCCCCCCACCCCGCTCACTGGTAGAAGTCCTGCTTGGCTCTGAGCTCCTCCTTTCGGTGTTCCAGAAGGATCGGGAGTGTGTCATCTGCTGCTGTCTTTCCTGCAGGGAGACCAAGGAGGAGGCTCAAGGTCTGTCCCTGCCCCGGCCTGCCCCTGCCCACTTCGGGGACCAGAATTCAACTTCTGTCCTCAAAGTCAGCGCTGTGGGGAGGTGGGACACGGCCAAGGATGGGGAAGGCTTACCCTGGGAGAGAGAGGGTGTGTCTTCTCCCAGAAACTCAGATGAAGGAGCAAAAGGTTATGGACCACCCTTCCCTGTCCTTGCTCTACCTTTCCAGGGGCCTCTGCTACAGGGAAATCCCTCTTCTAGAACTCCTGGAACATGAATACCTAACAGTTATTTAGAACTTACTGGGTACCAGGCACTTTCTAAATATTGTGTTAGTTGCTCAGTCACGTCCAACTCTGCAACTTCAAGGACTGGGGCCCGCCGGGCTCCTCTCTCCATGGGATTTCCCAGGCAAGTATACTGGAGTGGATTGCCATTTCCTTCTCTGGGGCATCTTCCCGAACCAGGGATCAAACTCAAGTCTCCCGGGTCTTCTGCATTGCCTGTGGATTCTGAACCACCTGGGAAGCCCTTCTAAAATACTTATGTCAATAATTTAATTTGCATAAGAACAGTTTAAATTATGAGGCAGATAACTATTATAGGCCCACAGTCTGATCTCCACAATTCCAAAAGGTCCAAAAATCAAGTTTTTGTTTTTTATTATTATTTTTTTCCACAAATAGGCACACACTTCTTGGCCAACAAAACCTGATCTAAATTTACCTGAGGCTGCGTATGGTCTTGATTTAAATCACTCTGAAACTACAGTTTTGGCTTGCAGAAACATTTGACATATTTGCAGTTACCCTGGTGGATGTATCATGTAACATACAGTATGTGTGAGTGTATAAAGAATATATACATATATGAAGATACATTTGTGTAAATACATACAGGGGGTCCCCTTAACTGTAGTTTCACTTTCCCTAGTTTCAGTTCCCTGCAGTCAACCTCAGTCCAAACATGTTAAAAGGAAAATTTCAGAAATAACATTGGCTTCTCACATCAACCCCATGAAGTAGGTTCTGCTGTCAGCCCAGTTTGACAAATGAGGACACTGAGACTTAGAAGAACTTGGAAATGAGTCCAGATGCCCAGCAAGTGGTGAAGCTGACACTCACATCCTGGCTGGTAGTCCCAGGCTGGCAGGTGCCTATCGCTGCCTCCCCATCATTTTCCTTCACAGGCCACCTTCCTTCTCCTTCTATCTGCCTCAGCTCACATTGCACTCAGGGTGAACAATGCCATCTGGAGTCGTGTAACCCACAGACCCAGTTCAGTTTCATCCCTGGGGTGGGAGCCTTCATCCTTGAAGGTCCCAGCCGGTCATTCAAGTCTCCCTGCCCTGGTATTTCATGGCAGCTGCCCCACCCAAACCCATTCCTGCCTGCCTCCCAGCGTTTCCATGCTGCTCAGACCTATCACTGTGGGAGGATGCTCCACGTCTCTGCGAGGCCCTCTCCTATGCCCCCACTTGACCAGGCCTGCCTCCTTCTGCCCCTGACTTTCCTTTCCCCAGCTCAGGCCCTGACCCCCTGTTCCCAGGGCAAGGACTTGGCCATGGGGAAATAAGAGAAGGGAGAGGGGTGGTCAGCCTCTGAGAGGAGGAGCTCCCCGCCCTGAGGTTCCCTCAGCCCTGCCTCCCCTCTCATCTACCTCGGAGGAGGCTGGAGGAGCCCAGAGGAGCATGGCTGGTTGAGAGAAGGGAACAAAAGAGGACAAGATTGAAGTCTCCTCGGAGCAGCCACACAAGGGTAGATGCAGGGGTGGATGCAAGGGACTTGGGCCCTCAGGTCCTGTCTCTTTTTCATGGCAGCAATCAAGTGGCTGGGAAAACATCTGGGGCAGCCTTGACTGGCCACTTCAAAGAACTCTGACAGTCAATATGAGTAACAGGGCCTTGGATTGGACTGTGATGGAGCCTCACTGAATAGGGGGTGGAGTGGGCAGTGAGTCCTTTGAGAGAAATGAGGTGTCCTTTTGGGGTGATTGGAAGCCCGTTGGAGCCACAGAACATCCCATCAGTCTAAGAAATGCTCAATTAGAAATCCAGGGCATCATGAAAAGGTACAAGACCTCCTGTTGTACGGCCTTGGAGGACTGCTGAACCATCAGGGCTTCTTCAGAAAATAACAAGGCAGCTGGTAGAATCATGGGAGATCCTATCAGAGTAACAAGGCATCCTGTTACAATAACAGCACCCTGAGGGGGTAACAGGGAGTCTTCAGAGCAGCAGCTCCTGCTGCTTGGCGTACATAGGGCATCCGATCAGAGTCCTGAGGTCTGAGAGTTGCCAGGCTTCCTGTGGGCATTGAGGGGAGGACTGTAGAGATAATGGAGAGTCCGCTCTGAGAATGCTGTCTGCAGTCAGACCCTGGGGTCCAGAGAGTAGCACCCCCGCCTCGTTCCTCCAGGCCGCAGCCTTGAGCCGGGCCCAGCAGAGCGGCATGGACCGTGGCTGGTGTGGGAGAGTGACCGGTGTTCCTGGGTGCCCCAGTCAGGCTGGCACTTGGCTGGGTGGCTGGGAGCCTGGGGTGGCCACGCTGGGGTGGCCAGGCCAGAGCGAGGGGCTTCATCGTATGGGATGGAGACAGTGAGGACTTACCTGTAGCCTCCCGGAGCGACAGGGTCTCGTAGCCGTCCATCCACTGGTAGGCAGGGAAGTGGTAGATGCGGCCATTGGGCACACAGACCTGCACGTAGTTGCAGTACCAAGGGTTCTTGGGGAAGAAGGAGTAGCGCTCCTTGAACAGGCGGACGATGATGAGGTCCCCCAGGTCCTGCTGACACTGGACAGTGTAGTCGTCCACCTGGGCGGGCACAGGGCCAGCTGAGCAGGCCAGCCTCCCACCTGCCTGCCCCCTCACCCAGGCCCCACTCATGCTGGGCGATGCTCACCTCCCTAGACCGGGATGACCTGATTTTTGGGGTCTCTGACCCCTCCCACCTGCCTGACCCCAGCTGGGCAGGACTCCAGGCTCTCCCTCTCTCCATCCTTGGCTCCTGAAATACCCTCTTCCCACCTCCTCCTCCCCAGCCACCTGAGGCTGCAGGGGCCATGCAGACCCCCAGGGACTGGTGTACAAGGGGTCTAAATAGAGCTCCCCCAAGCCTCCTACATCCTTAAGAATGGGCAGAGGTGGTCCAACCAGCCCTCCATTTCTTCCCATTTATCAGTGAAGATGTGGAGATTCAGAAATGTCTACAAAGATAGAGTGACCTGCTAAGGTCACATAGCAGCAAGTGGCTGGAACTGACTCAAAATTAGGCTGAGGGCCCAGCAGAGGGGGCCTTTTATCACAGAGCAGGAGAGTCCCCGCTGGACAGGCTGGTCTGATGCCTTGTATGACACAGAGAATCCAGTGGAAATTTAAGCCAATGATGCTGAAGCTTAACAACTTATTGACCAAAGACACATTAATAGGTCTTTTGTTACCTGAACATTATTTACCAGAGATGGTTCAGTACTCACTTACATAACAAATCACTGGCCATGGATCTTATTTTGCAAAAAAATCCCCTGGTCAATAATGTGTTAATTTAGGAAGGATGAGTAAGAATGGGAGAGGGAGGCATGAGGAAGAGTGTGAGAGAGGAAACAGGAAAGGGATGATGGAAGAAGGGGTGGAAAGAGACTGGAAAGTAGGAGAGATGAAACTAGTGCGAGAGGGTTGAGAGGTGAGGGATGTGGGGTGAGTGATGACAGAGAGAGAGATGAAGGAGAGAGAAAAAGAGGTGAGGAAAGATCAGGGGGAGGAATGAGAGATGATGGCAAAGGAATGAGAGGTGACAGGTGGTGGGGAGGGGATGGAGGAAGGCTGGGAGCCAGTTCTTGGGTGGGGGCCTCTGAGCCACCTTGGAGCCCCGCTGCTTTCAGAGCCCTGTACCCCTCCATCCCTCCCCTTTCTCCCCAGGCACACGCTCACACACACACACACACTCACCGCACCAGTTGCAAAATCTCTCCCAAAGTGGTTCAGCAGCTGCTTATGGCTCTCTCCCTGAGTCCCCACGATGATCAGAGAGATGGAGTCCATGGTTCCTGACAAGAAGTCGGTGCCCGTGGCCACCCTGACTTTGTAGGTGGCCATGGTTGCTCTTCAGGAGGCAGGAAGGGAGCTCAATCGCAGACACGGTGAGGGGGGCCACAGGGGGGCCCAAGCCTGGCAGGAAAAGTCAGACACAGACAGGAGTGGAAAGATCAGCCTTCCAAGGTGGAGAGGTGAAGCAGGGACCCAGAGGCTGGCAAAGCTGTTGCCCCGGACCGGGTTGGGGGTTGCACCAGGTCCGGTGCAGGACAGGAGTCTGGCAGGCTGGGGTGGGGCTGTGCTCCGGGGCCAGTGAGCAGGCGTCTGGGCTGCGAGCCCTCTGAGAGCTGGCAGGGAGGGACAATAGGCAGGGTGCTGGGCCTGCCCCTGAGAGGGCGGGTAGAAGAGGCATTGGATGGAGGAGACTTCAGGGTGGGGGAGCCAGTCCAGCCTGAGCCAAGGCCCCAGGAAAGTTAGGGGAGGGGCCCCCAGATCTTTATCAGCCTTCCTTCTGCCCACCCCTATTGGCTACAACACTGGGCACCCTGCTGAGCAGGGCCATGGATAGCGGATTACTAGCACTGGTTCTGGGGGCCCCCGGTGGGTGGAGGTCAGGGGAGAGGGGACACAGCATAAACCCACTGTCCAGCTGGCCTGTTGCCTTGCCATTCCACTCTGGGAAATGGGGCAGTTAGTGCCCACAGTAGGAAGGCTGGCCTATCCTTCTGTCCCAGGGCCCAGAACCCACAATACACAGGGTGATGGGTGTTGAAACTAGAGCTTGGGGACACAGCCTCCAGGAAGGGGTCAGGGATCAGAGGGGGGTTATCTGTGGCTTTCTATGGGGCCACAATCAGACAAAGAGGGATTGGGATTGAATACAAATGTAGAAGACTGTTGGAGTGAAATTTGAGGCATAAGAATTAAGCTAGACACTTCCCTTGTGGTCTGTTGGTTAAGAATCCACCCGCCAATGCAAGGGACATGGGTTCCGCCTCTGATCCAGGAAGATCCTATATGCCACGGAGCAACTAATCTTACACCACAATCGGACCCACAAGTTGCTACTACTGAAGCCCGAGTCTAGAGCACATGATCCACAACAAGAGAAGCCATCCTGATGAGAGCTAGAGAGTAGCCCTCACTCTCTGCAACTAGAGAAAGCCTGCTTGATGCAACAAAACCCACAGCAAACAAAAATAAAATAAATAATTAATTTAAAAACAACTATTGTGTCATGAGGAAAAAAATAAAAAGTAAAAAAAAAACAACTAGCAATTCTTATGAAAGTCAGACCAGTGAGTAGCTCTGGGATAAGAGTACAGACATCAACCCCTCACACTGCCTCCTACTCCAGATCAAGCAGATCAAGCCTGGTGGTGGCAACTTCTCACCTTCGGGACAATGACATCATCCTTTCACGTGGCCCCCAGGGCCCCCTTCATGGATCTCATCCCCCACCACATCCCCCTTTTCTCTCTTCTTTCTAGGACTAGGTGCCTCTCCTTCAGTCACCAGCGGACACTATGGAGCCCCCTCCTGTGTTCCCTACAATGCATTTATATATTTATTTTTGGCTGCTCTGGGTCTTTGTTGCTTTCTCTAGTTCAGTGAGTGGCTGTTGCTCTTTGTTTCAGTACACAGGCTTCTCATTTCAGTGACTTCTCTTGTTGCAGAGCATGGGCTCTAGGACTCCGGGCTTCAGTAATTGCAGCACACAGGCTCAGGAGTGGTGGCACTCAGGCTTACTTGCCCTGTGGCATGTGGGGATCTCCTCACACCAGGAGTCTTTTGAAACTATGTCCCCTGATTCTCAACCACTGAACCACCAGGAAATTCCCCTCCAATATATTTTTAGGGCTTCACAAAACAAATCCCTGCTTTCCTTCCTGGAGCTTACATTCTAGTAAAGGAAACAGACAATTTTACCTAATAGCCAGGTGAATCAAGTACTATGCTAAAGAGTGATAAGAGCTGAAGAGAAACTATAAAGTAGGGAAAGATAATAAAGTGTAAAAGACTACACTTTAGCTATAGAGTAGCCAGACATCAGGACTTCCCTGGTGGCTCAGTGGTAAAGAATCCACCTGCCAATGCAGGAGATGTAGGTTCAATCCCTGGTTGGGAAGATCCCCTGGAGAAGGAAATGGCAACCCACTCCAGCACAGTCAGTTCAATCGCTCAGTCGTGTCTGACGCTTTACCACACCATGGACTACAGCACACCAGGCCTCCTTGTCTTATCACCAACTCCCAGAGTTTACTCAAACTCATGTCCATTGAGTTGGTAATGCCATCCAACCATCTTATCCTCTGTCGTCCCCTTCTCCTCCTGCCTTCAATCTTTCCCAGCATCAGGGTCTTTTCCAATGAGTCAGTTCTTCCCATCAGGTGGCCAAAGTACTGGAGTTTCAGCTTCAACATCAGTCCTTCCAATGAATATTCAGGACTGATTTCCTTTAGGATGTCCAGTCTGTTGTTCCATGTCCAGTTCTAACTGTTGCTTCCTGACCTGCATACAGATTTCTCAAGAGGCAGGTCAGGTGGTCTGGTATTCCCATCTCCAGCACATGGGATCTCGAAAGAGTCAGACAGGATTAAACAACAGCCAAGCAAGAGCTCTTTGAGAAGGGGGCTTTTGAGTAAAGATATAATGTGAAAGCAGCTCTTCCCAACCACAGGGACTTTGCACACACTGTTCCCTCTTAGGCCTAGTTAATGCTTCCTCTTCCTTTAGATTGTAGCTTGATAATTGCTTCATCAAGAAAGGCCAAGTTTAGGGAGGTTCAAGAGGGAGGGGACATGTATATATGTATTGCTGATTTATATTGATGTGTGGCAGAAACCAACACAACACTGTAAAGCAATTATCCTCCAATCAAAAATAAATAAATTAAAAAGAAAGACCAAATTTAACTCTTAATGGCTCCTAGAGCACTGTAGTTAACATCTTAGATGAATATCTGTCTTTCCCACTAGAGTAGAATGTCTATAATTTGGTTTTCTCCCAACCTCCAGGCACAATAGCTAGTACCTGGGAGACTCTCAAACTATGGGTTAGTGATACGGACAAGATCAGGGGTGGGAACTGAATCAAGAATGGGGTTAGAATTAGTGTGAAGATTCAGAAAGGATGAGGTGAGGGGTAGAAAGTGATGTGAAGCAGGGGGACTGGTTAAGGGGATGGAGGCAGGACGAGGAAGAGCCTGGGGATGAAGGTCATGTGCCGGTGCTCTGTGACTGGCAGGGCTATCTCATTTGCCTGGGCACAGTACCTGTCAGGCCCGCCCTCCTGGGCTCTACTCAGCCACCATGATGACTCTTGGATGATGCTAGGAACCTGATGATTCAAATATGCATCTTAAGATGCGAACTCTAAGCAAAATTTCCCATTCACCTGCCTTCTAGCTACTCCTCTTCCCTTGAGACTGTGCCCCCAGGGGGCTGCTAAGGCTCCTTGAGGGGTAGGGCCACGGACGGGGAATTGAGGCTCAGGGGCTTAGGATGCCAAGTCCTAAAGGAGCAGGTGTAAGCAGCCCAGCCTTAACTTTCTAATCCAGCGGTACAGTAATGTCACTCTGTGGGGCGTGGAAGGAGGCAGGGGCCCCCAGGCAGCCAGGAGGGTAACCTGGGAAGGGACATGGGGGGAACGGGGAGGGAACTGATGGTGTAGAAGAGTTTGGGTGTCATACAAACCTGAGGGATCTACCACCATTCTCCAAATCACAATCCACTACCAACAGGTCTCCCCCAGCCAGTTCCTCGGTCCCCAAAAAAGCAGGAGTGGTGGCTCTGGGTTTGATCAGGGCTCAAGTCTAGAGTGGGAATTCAGTTCTTAAGGGAACCAGATGAAGATGGGGATGGTGGGGATACAGACATGGCCAGGGACCTGGAAGGGATTAGGCATAAGGAGATAGATGGGGCACTCCCTAGTTACAACCAAAATGAGGATGCATGACTCTGGGTAGGTGCTCATTGGGCTGAAGAACTGGTTCTCCTTGACCAGGGCTGGACCCAGGGAGCAGAAGAGGCCCCTGGGAAGGATGCAACCTCACTGAGTTGGCTCACAATGAGCCACCCACACAGGAAGCCGAGCCCTCTCTGCTGGGGCACCCCCTACCGCCTTACCCCACCCTGAGCCCTGCAAGGTAGAGGAGCAACCCTGGGAGCCCCACCCCCCCCAAGACAGAGGGAAAAAAATCAAGTCAGGTCACATCCCTACTTTAAGCCAGAACTTAAAACCGTTTTGCCCTTAGAATCAAATCCAAAGACTTAACTGCAGACTGTAGGATCATGCATGACCCAGCTTCTGTCCCCTCCCTGGGGTCACCTATTCCAGCCGCTCTGGCCTTGAACACACACCCTTCAGGACCCTTGCAGTTCCCTGACCACCACACCTAGTGCCCCTTGACCCAGGCATGCTAACCCACCACCAGGTTTCATCTCCTGACTGCTTTCACAACCATCTAAAAGGATTTATTTGTTTATGTGCTGTTTGTCTGCCCCACAAGCCAGCTGAAGTAGGGGTCATGCCAGGGGAATTCACAGCCACACCCCCCACAGAGTGTCTAGGGAGACAGGAGCCACGAGGGAAGCAAATCCTAGAACATTCATGCTGGAAGGGACTTTCCTGGTCTTCCCATCCCTCCCATTTATCTGACACATCTGGGCCACTGAGGCTGAGGGACTTGCTCAAACCCAGCTGGTGAAAGAGGGCTGGATGCTTCCCCTAATAACATACCAGCTGCCCTTCAGACTGATGGAAAAGCACAAAGGGTCCAGAGTGCAAGGTGGGGGGCCGCCGCCTGTCTGACGAAACAGGAGCTTTACATGGGCCCCCTCCCTACATCCAGTCCCCAGAGGTGTTCGCCCACACAAAATCCTACATGTAGTCAGGTGTGTCTCCGCAATAAATCTCACTCCAAGCTGGCTTTCTGGGGAACCAGATTCCAATGACCCTCCCTGGTCCCACCCTCTCCAGCTCAGGGCATTTTTCAGATGAGGCATGTCTTCTAATGCTAATTTTGGTGCAGACCAAGTAGCATCCATCCTCGTGGAAAGACAAGCTGCCTGTGACTTCCCTGGTGGTCCAGGGACTAAGACTCTGTGTTCCTAATGTGGGGCTTGGATTCGATCCCTGGTTAGGGAACTAGATCCCACAAACTGCCACGTAGATCTACAATTCCGCATGCTGCAACTAAGACCTGGCACAGCCACAAAAAAAAAAAAAAAAATCATCTGACTGTGCCCTGATACCATTCCACTGTATCTTGGTCCTACTGTTCTAAGTCAAAGCCCAGTTTTAAGAGGTGGGCACACCCAGCCTTTGCCACAGTCCTTCTGGCCACAAGGTGGCGACGTTGGGTATTTCTCATTCTTTGATTTTATTCAAAGGTGAACAAAATCTGGTGAGACAACCCCAAACACACCTCTTCATGCACAAGGCCATGGGGATCCTCTTCTCCCAGCATCACAGGTGCAGGGAGTAAAAATTCAGTCTTTGGAAGAGCCAAATGCTGCCCCACACGCACTCCCCAAAGACACTGTGACTCTGGCCAGAAAGAGACTGTGACCAGGATTTGGTCAGGTGCAGAATTTGACTCAGGAGGCAGAAGAGGTGAGGGGGGCTAGACGTGAAGTCTAGGGAAGCAGGAATATGGAGAAAAAAATTATAGGCTATTTATGGACACGACTGAGTGACTGAACTGAACTGATGTATTTTATTAACTTTTTATTTTATATTGCAATAACAGCCAGTTAACAATGTTGTGATAGTTTCAGGTACACAGCAAAATCACTCAGCCATACCTAATACCTGTTTTTTGTTATCAACCCCTTGAGTCTAGTGGAGAAGGCAATGGCACTCCAGCGCTCTTGCCTGGAAAATGCCATGGACGGAGGAGCCTGGTGGGCTGCAGTCCACAGGGTCGCTAAACCCACTCCACTGTTCCTGCCTGGAGAATCCCAGGGATGGGAGACGCTGGTGGGCTTCCGTCTATGCGGTCACACAGAGTCAGACTCAACTGAAGCGACTTAGCAGCAGCAGCAGCAGCAGCTTGAGTCTAGATACTCTTTCACCTCCTGATGGATGACACACTCTGTCCGGGAGGTGAAGGAATGTAGGGCCTGGCTAGGTAATAGGTTGAGCTTGGAGGCTTCCTGTCTCCAGAGCAGCTATGCTAGGGACTCATTGTGGCTCCTTCTTTCTCTAATCTCTGAATACCCCACCTATGTACATACACACAGGTACAAAAAGAAAAATGAAATGGGAGCCAAGTATACAGATTTTGGGGCTTCCCAGCAGTTGCTAGGGGTAAAGAACCAGCCTGCCAATGCAGGAAATGTAAGAAACATGGGTTCAGTTCCTGGGTGGAGAGGATCTCCTGGAGGAGGGCATGGAAACCCACTAGTATTCTCTAGTATTGTTACTTAGAGAATCCCCATGGACAGAGGAGCCTGGTCGGCTACAGTTCATAGGGTCCCAAAGAGTCGGACACAACTGAAGCGACTTAGCATGCATACTAATTTTTATTGAAGTTTCTGGGCTTAAGGACAGAAAGTGGGTGGTGGATGATAGTTGGGATAGGAAAGAGTTGGAGAGAGACTCCACACTCACACACTCAAGCCAGGGAACTTGGTGCTGAGAACTACAGTTAGAGGTACAGGTAAGCTGGGCTCTAATTCTAATCCTCTCCCTAAAGATGCAGGGGTCAAAGTGGACCACACGCAGATCCAGAGCACACATCCTTCCTTGTCCAGTTTCCAGGTTCTGCCAAAGGAGAAGTTGGATTGGGTTGGTCCTAGGATGGGAGGAAGGTGGAAACAAAGAGGTGAAGTAGGAGAAAGTATTTTGGAATGAGAGAGGACTGGGGAGGCGGGTTCAGAGTCCCAAGCTGGGCTTGATGGGAGGAGGTAGGTTTTTCATAGAAGATGGGGAATAGGTAGGCTTTCACAGGAGGCTGCCCGAAGGAGGACATGGGATGATGGAGATCCTTCCTTTCGAAGGGCCTGTTGTGCGTTTGACTTCAGTCAGCAGATTCTCACCGCGGACACTCCCGGACTGGTCCCTCACAGTTCAGGGCCCAGTTCATGTGATGCTAGAACCATCGTGGGTGCAAAACGCGTCGAGAAAGTGCAGGCTGATCAAGAACAAGGACAGAGAGGACTGGAGGATCCTGAGAAGCTGGCCCGCCTCACGCTAGGGCTAGCGGTTAAGAGGAGGGGGTTAAATGGAAACGCTATTCTCAATGAGGGGAGGGTCCAGGTAGGCGTAGGGCAGCGCCAGGCCCCGGTTCCGCTCCCGGATGTCTCGCGAGATCTGAGCCAGGCGGTTCTGGAAGACAGCGATGCTCCGGCGCGGGGCCTCCTCTGTAAAGTGCTCGTCCGGGTAGGTGCCCAGGGGCCGCTGGGAGAAAATCAGGTGTGGGGTCAGGATGATGTTGAGGGCCATATTTGTCAACAAATGCAGTCAAGGTGGCTTCTAAAGGCAGGCGTCACCCAGCCACGGCCACTGTAAACGCAAACCCTTGAAACCCCGGAACCACCATTCCAGCCACCTGCGCAGAGCAGCCCACAGATCCCTAAAAAGGTCCCTTCCTGTGCCTGGGCCACTGCTTTATGAATGAAACATAACCATGTCCGTAACACTACTGAAATCAACATAAACATCCTACCAGATATGCCCAAGAATACACAAAAGGCAACCCCTGAAGACAATCAGTTCTGAGGCGTCTCCCAGTCAGCCACCGTTGCCAGTGTCATCATACACTCATGCTTTCCAGCCTAGCCAACCTCTATTCAGAAATAGCGCAAAGAACTGAAGTCAGTCCCACCCTGCGGCAGAACAGGACTGCCCTTCTGGTCTTGACCACAGTACACAACCAGTTCACCATCAGGGTTCCTGGATCCAACCTCTTAACCAGCACACACTGCTCACATAATAAAACTGTTGCCAACAATCCTGATGTTTAAAAAATTCTTTGCCTTGTTTTATTGCACCAGCAGAGCCTCTTGAAACTGTTAAATCACAGCCTTGTTTTCTCCTCTCTGACTTTAATGACCTATATTGTTTCAACATAAGGCCAGTGTTTTCTTTTCTGAAATATCAAAACTCCATAAGGGAGTTTCATCTTATACTGAGTTTTTATTAGTGATGGCTATTCTCATTTATCAAACACTTTTTCAGCACGTATTGATTGAGATGATTACATGGTGTGTCTCTTTACTGATGTAATGATGGATATTATTAGATTTCATCAGGCTGAACCAACCTTTCATTCCTAAGTTAAACTATACTTCATCATGATGAATTATTGTTTTACTATATACTATTGGCTTTCATTGACTAATGATATATTTTTAAGATTGTTGTAGCTAAGTGGAATGAGTTTATAATTTTATTTTCTTAATTACAGTGGACATGTTGCAAGGGCTTTACATGGACCATCACAACAGGACAATCCAGTAAGACAGGTACTTCATCATTCCCACTTTACAGATCAAGAAACTGAGGCTTAGAGAGGCCTGACTACATATCCAAGGTCACATAGGTGGGAAATGTGGATCTGGGACTAGAACCCTCTACCTGGGACTCACTTCTCTTTTCTTAAGAGCACTGCCCTTGCCAGGCACTGGTATCAGGGTTACCAGTAAAATGATTTAGGAAGCTTCTACTTTTTTATATACTTTCAAGAAGTGTGAATGATTTAGGAATTGTTCCTTGAAGGTTTAATAAAATCTCCCTTTACAAGGAGAGGGATCAGATCCTTTACAACCCTTTTCATTTATGTATGGTTTTCACCTCTTCTGGTATTTTGGGTTTTTTTGTTTGCTTTGGGTTTTTCAAGTTTTCCTAAAAATTTTACTTATTTCATCTAGGTTTCCAAATTTGTTTGCATAAAACTATAAGTAGTATTTTCTTCTAATTTTTCCATTCTTCGCATACCTTTTCTATTCCTGATGTTGTACATTTATGTTAATGTTTTTCTTGATTTGAATTATCTCTGGTTTCTTTATTTTATTGGTCTTTTCAAAGAATCAGTTTTATGTCTTATTTACCAGATCAATATCTAATTTCTGAAACTATAGTGTCACTATTGATAAAGCAAAGCACAGAAATATGAATGACTGGGTTCAGTGCCTAATTACTAGCTGTGACCTTGGGCAAACTGCTTGGTGTCTCTGAACCTCAGTTTTCTCCCTTGTAAAATGGAGCTACATTTATTGAACACTTATATGCCAGTCACTATATTAAGCCTTTTAAATATAGCTACTTATTTATTTTGTATCTTGAAATAGTGCACATAAGATACCTGATTTAATGACTGACACATGATAGATCCTCAGGAAGTGTAGGTGCTATATATTATTGTTGTTTTCATTATGACTTTCCTGGTTAGGTTTCCCACTGGCTTATGAGAAAGGGAACTCTCCACCCTCATCCTCTTGTGTACTCCTCCCTTTCCAGTGTGATTTTGTGACTTATAATAAGAAAAATATATTTGGTTTTGTGTTTCTAGCACAGAGCTCTTAATACCCTTATAACTTCATAGTGATAGAGTGTTAAAGGTGTCTTTTGTTATTCAAAATAAGCCCTTTTCAACCCCACCTGAGTTTCTGTTAACCAGGACTTCTGGAAATTCCCTGGGGTTGGAGGCTGGTTGCCAGAGGGATCAACCTTGTGATTAGGTTAGAACTTGCAGTCTCACCCCCCAGCCTCTGGAGAGGGGGGAGGAACTGAAGGTTGAATTAATCCCCAGTGGCCAATAATTTAATCAATCATGTCTAGGTAATGAAGCCTCCATAAAAATCCCTCATGTACGAGTTTGGAGAGCTTCCAGGTTGACACCCATGTGGAGGTGCTGGGAGAGAGCCTAGAGAGGCATGGGAACTCCACGCCCTTTCCCACACTCCTCGCTCTCTGGAGTGCCTCCATCTGGTCATTGTTGAGTTGTGTCCTTTCAGCATGAGCCAGTCATCTAGTAAGTAAATATTTTCCTGAGCTCTGTGAGCTGTTCTCAGCAAATGATCAAAACTGAGGAGGGGTTGGTCAGAAACTCAGATGATAAGCTGGAACTTGCAGTTGTCACCTGAAGGGGGTGAGGCGGGTGGAGTGGAGGAGCAGTTTTGTGGGACTGAGTCCTTCACCTGTGAGATCTGACACCTCTCCAGGGGGACAGTGTCAGAATTGAGCTCAATTAGAGGACAGTTGTTAGATTTCATCAGGGGCTTCCCTGTTGGCCTAGACCCACATTGACACCCATGTGGAGGTGCTGGGAGAATCTGCCTGCAGTGCGGGAGACCCGGGTTGGGAAGATCCCCTGGAGAAGGGAATGGCAACCCACTCCTGTATTCTTGCCTGGAGAATCCCCATGGACAGTGGAGCCTGGTGGGCTACAGTACATGGGGTCGCAAAGAGTCAGACACGACTGAGGAACTAGCATAGAGGACACCCAACTGATGTTGAAGAACTGCTTGGTGTGGGAACCACCCCTACACATTTGGTGGCTGGAAATATTGAGGGAGAGTATTGAGAGGAGTAATGTAGTGTTGTGTGAGTAGACAAAAAAACAAAACAAAACAGTGTTTTTCCTTTGCAATGACTGAAATGTATGTCTCCAAATCCTTGGGAAGTGAGACCAGAGAGGAGCAGCATCTGGGGACTAGTTCCTGCATTCCCAGGTGATGAGATGATAAGTTGAATCTTGTTAGGGAAATAAAATATTCGTGCCAAATGGAGTCAAGCGTGAGAAATGAGGATATCACCGCAGAGAGCTTGGGGACAAGACCAAGAGGGCAGAGGCATGACTGATGACCCAGTGTGTAAATGAAGATAATGGTAACTGGTGATTCAAGGGCTGCTCCCCTGGCCTGGCCTAATAGCCTCCTTGCTGTTGGTCCTGCCTCTAAAATTACCCTTCCCATCCATCTGCATAGCCACAGAAGCGCCCTTGCAAAAACACAAATTCAGCCATGTCACCCCAGGCTTAAACCCTTCAATGGTTCCCATTTGTCTTTTGAACAAATAATTGCAGCCATACTGGGCTGTTTATGCTCCTGCAAATGCACCAACAGACTCTCACCTTCACTTTGCTTCACTTGGTAAAGTCCTTCCCTCTGCTTAGAAACTAACCCTGCCCCTCTTTTGTCTGCCCAATACCTCCCTGCCCCAAAGGTTTTATCTTAGATGTCACTTCCTCCAAGGCCTCTTCCCAGGTTTGCCTAGGCTTCGTTAGGTTCCGTGAGGCCCCATCCTTACCTCTGTCACTGGGCTGTAAGCTTATGTACAACATCAAGGTTCATATCTGCCCACCAGTATCTGGCACTTGGCAGGTGCTCAAGAAGTAAGGACTGAATGGAGGAATTCATGAATGATTCCTACGACACTGTGGTGCTCTTTTCTCTTTCCCTGTGTGTCTCCTCAAGTAGATCGTAGGATTCTTGCAGGCAGAAAGTTCTCACTCGTTGTTATGTTCCTGGTGCCCAGCACTGTGTTGACATATGGGAGGGATCTGGCAGATGTCTGGGTGAATGGATGAGTGACTGATGGGTGAGTAAGTGGTTGGATGGACAGATGGACGGATAGGTGGATAGACTGGTTAAACTGGTGAATTAGATGGAAGTTGTGACCCAGCCACTAAACTGGTATTTGCTTCAGTGTGTCTCTGGGGCCCAACTATCATTTCCTGAAGAAACTGAAGAACTCAAGGCAACTCAGCATAAATGTCAGATGTTGGCTCCCAAACTCCCTTGGACAGCCACCACCACCTCCACTACCCAGGCCCTGCAAATTCCCCCCAGCCCCAGACACCCCACCACCACCACCACCACTCACCTGATCCTTGGGCTCTTGGCTGACCAACCAGAAGAGGAGAATGTTATTACAAGTGGTATTCACTTCCGGGAGGGTGTCCAGGAAACTCTTCAGGGTGGTGGTCCCCTTGGTCTGTGGTGGGGGCTGCCTCATGGATGACGGGGCATTGGGCATCCAGGCTCCAAAGTCATGCTGTGGAGACCCCCCAACCCCAACTGAGTCAGTTGACCAGAAAAGAAGGACCATCTCCCTCCTCAACATCCCTGTTCCTGCCCCTACCATCCTAGATCTTGCAGTTGGGAAATAAGGGGGGCTTTAAAAGGGAAGCAAGGAAGAGGGTGGCAGGAACCTGGGTCACCCCTTGTTATCCCCCTACCCAGTGTTCCAGGACTCGGTGGCATGAGTTACCCAGGAGGGAGGAGGACCCAGAATAAAGAGGTCACCCGAGAAATGAGCCTTGGGTTGGCCTGCTGCTCCACCTGGCCTCATCCTGTCCACAACTGGAGCCCCTCAGTGCTACTCCCTCCACAACCCAACTTGAGTCACCATTACGAGCTTGGAGCTCTACTCCAGTCATCATTCAGCCCCAGTGCTGCCCTCCACCCAGTCACCACTCCAACCCCAGCCCTATCCATAAACCCATCACAGCCTTGACCCTCCCATGCTCTCAGCCCGAACTCTGGCCTCACATCCACTGCTGAGACTAATCCTACGTGGCCCAATGTCCCCCAGGCCCGCCCTCTGCAGCCTCACCTGCCCACTGTTGACAGCGGCATGTTGGGCAGAGCAGTTGAAGATGATTGCAGTGAGGAATTTCACCAGCTCTCCCTGGGTGCACAGCTGGCGTGGGAAGCCTAAGAGTGAGGGGAAGGGAAGAGGGTGTGGATGGAAGGGACCAGATTCCTGAGGGCAGCTCAGGACTGGGGCTCGCTGCAGGAGGAGAGAGAGCAATGCAGACTAAACATGTGGCTGCCACCATCTTTAGACTAGTATTGGGATTGGGCTGAGGTTAAGGATAGGGCTTCCCAGGCAGCTCAGTGGTCAAGAATCCTCCTACCAATGCAGGAGATGAGGGTTTGGTCCCTGAGTCAGGAAGATCCTGTGGAGGAGGAAATGGCCACCCACTCCAGTATTCTTGCCTGAAAAAATCCTATGGACAGAGGAGCCTGGTGGGCTACAGTCCATGGGGTCGCAAACAGTTGGACACAACTTAGTGACTGATCATCACACCAGGTTACAGATGGTCATCACCATGGTGTGGTCTCTGAAGCGGGGGACTGGGATAGGGCTAGAAAATGCCGAGCCAGCAGAGGTCACAGCAGAAGAGCCAGGTTCAAGGGAACAGCACTTCTGTCTGCAGCTTGTTTTAGTACATAATCATAGAATTCTACCCAATTCACCAAGATTTGCCTAAGCACCCAGGAGCAGATCATCTCATCCGCTGTTGGGTTTAGTGGCAGAGACAGATGGTCAGAGAAGGTGCTGCTTATAAGCCCACAATGATGGAAGCAGAGGAAGGTTTAAGGCCAGGGCTCAGCCCTTTGAGGAGATGGCAGGTTCAGCAACGGGGCTGGGTGGTCAGAGGAGGCTTTCCTGGAGGAAGAGAAGGGGCCTCCCTGGGTAGAATAATGCGGTGAGCTTCAAACGGATAAAAAAAAAGAGGCAGGCATTTTCAGGCTCAGCCCTTGGTTGTCTTTTCTCTGATCTCACTGGTCTCATCCAAGACTGTGGCCTTCACCACCTCTCACTGGCTGATGATTCCCAAGTTCACATCACCCCTACACACTGGACTTGCTGGTGGGTATAAATCTGCAGCTGCTAGCTGACATCTCTGCCTGAGTGTCTATGAGGCGTCTCAGACCTGACACTTGCCAGACCTCAAGCTTGACTTCCTACCTTGCACATTACTGAAACCTGTCCCCTGTGGCCACCAGTGGGCCCACTTCAGCGCTCTCCATTCAGTTGCTCCAGCCAAAATCTGTGCACTCGCTCCCCTTCTTATCTCCCACCGAACATGTCAGCAAAGTCTTGCAGAAGCCACCCTCGTGCCATCAGCTCCAGTCTCCACACCACCCCTTCTCCATCGGATGGATGGATGAATCTGACTGCTTCCACCCTTGCCTCTGACAGTTTGTTCTCCACATAATAGCCAGATCAAGTGATCCTTCAGAATAGTAAATCCAGTTATACCACCCCTACCTAAAATGCGTTAAGGGCTTCCCACCTCACTTACCTCACCATGGCCCTACTTAAACTGGTTCTTATTCCTTCTCTGTCTTCATTCCCTTCCCTATTTTTCTCCCTCTCACCTACTCTACTCAGCTACACAGGTCTGCTGATTTCTTAAACCTGCCTGCACGCTCCCACCTGAGGTCTCTGCACTGACTCCGCCTCTGTCCCTACACTCTTGCCCCAGTTATCCACAGAACTAGCTCTCTCCGTTCCATCAGTCTCTAGCAGACAGCACCTCCTAAAAGAGACCTTCCCTGACCTCCTAACTGAAGTAATCTCCCTACCTCGACCTGCTGTATCCCCTGATGCTGTTTTGTTTTTCTTTTTAACCACTTGACATATTTGCTAGTTTATTTATTTATTTATTTTATTTGCTAGTTTATTATCCATATCTCCCCACAAGAATGTTAAGCTTCGTGAAGGCCAGGATTTTTGCCTGTCATGTTCACTGCCAAACCCCAGCACCTGAAACAATACTTAATAAGTATTAACAGTATTTAATAAATATTACTGGTTGAATGAAGTGAATGCACGAGAGGGTAGGAAGCCAGAGTGGTCAGGCACAAAGTCAGAAGCAAGGTGAGGGGACAGGGAGGGGACTTAATTGGATGTGAGGCTACAGCACTTTGCTAGGCAGGGTGGTGTCTGGGGACTATTTCAGGGGATTACTGGGGCGGTGGCCCTGCCGAATTGGCATCAGGTGAGTAGCAGAGAGGCTGGGAGGGGTGGGATAGGTTGAGAGGCAGCTGCCACTGTTGCAGGAGTAGTGAGAGGACTGACTAGGGTGGTGACAGTGGGAAATGATGGGGACAATAGCATTAGCCACTTAACTGGATTTCGGGAGAGAGGAAGACATCAGGGAACGTGAGTCAAGATGGCTCCAAGGCTTGGAGTCAGGATGACAGCTGTGAAAGAGGCTGTCGCAACAGAGCAGACGGAGAGGCTGGAAGGAAGGACTGGGTATCCGTCTGCCTGGGAGTGTGTGGGGACTTTCCGAATGTGCCGCTCATGGTGGATAGAATAAAAAAGCAAAGTCAGACGACATATGGGAATTCTTCTATAGCGCATATTATTTTTTCCCTTTGAAATGTGGAAGCCAGAGGCATGCTGAGGTTAATGAATGAGTGTATTTTACCTGAAAACATGAGTGTAGTATAAGTTTGTGCCAGTTGGAAGAGATGTTTGTCAATCTGAAGAAAGTCCTGATGTATCAAATCAGAGACAAATTGAATAAAGAAAGACAAGATAGTTGATCCCACTCTGTGTCTTGAATAGGAAACAGATAACCCTGAAGAGAAAAACAGCTGCCCCTGGAGGAGAAGCAGTCAGGATCAGGATGCTCCCTGATTAACAGTAGGTTTGCAAAGCACAGGGAGGGGCTGCTCTTCAAAGGATCCAAGAGAGGTCTGGCTGTCACCACCTTAACCCAGAAATCACGCTTGGCCTCACTAATAGATAGCCTGACATCGCACACCTCCCAGTATGATGCAATGCAGAGAACACAGTATCACTGGAGAACATTCTTGCCCCAGACATTTAACCTTTAGATACTACTTCCAGTTGACAGACAACACAGTGGGTAGAGGAATGACTACGTGGGGAAGCAATTAGATAAGTTCGGAAGGCAAGACATTCTGCAGAACAGCTAGTTCTTAGCCTTTCCATAGCTCTTGTCAGATGTTTATGTGATTTTAAAAAGGGCAGAGGGCGGCTGACCTAAAGTAAAAGAGACTTTAGAGTCAAAATGAACACATATGTCATTTGGTCCTTGACTGGCTCCAGAATCAACGGGATCAACTGAGGGAGAATGGGACAAGTAAGAGGGTAATGTTGGAGATTACTTGTCAATTTTGTTAAATGTGATGCCAGCATTGTGATTGTGTAGAAAATTTGAGATGCATATTAATTAGGTAAAATGTGAAATATGTATAAATAAACAAAAGCAACAACTTAATCAATTATGGCAAGATGTTAGGAACTGTATCAAGGTGGTGAGTAAACTGCATCTAGGTGGATAAAAGTAGAGTATCATATTCTCTACTTTTGTTTGAAAAAAAAAATCTGGAACTTCCCTAGTGGTCCAGTGGTTAAGACTCCACACTTTCAATGCAGGGGGTACAGTTTCAATCCCTGATCAAGGAAATAAGATTCCCGAGGGACTAGGCAAAAAAAAAAAAAAAAATGCTTTGGAGCCCACTACAGGTAAAGCGTCTGTCTACAAAGCGGGAGACCCAGGTTCGATCTCTGGGTGGGGATGATCTCCTGGAGAAGGAAATGGCAACCCACTCCAGTATTCTTGCCTGGAAAATCCCATGGACGGAGCCTGGTGGGCTACAGTCCATGGGGTCACAGTCAGACACGACTGAGTGACTTCACCTCACTTCACTTCACAGGTAGGACTACAACAGCTGTTCATTCTGTTCCCTGGTGACCTGAGACCACACCTCCTCCCCAGGTTTCCCCAGGCAGGAATTGCTCTGGGTGGCCACCAGAAGTGCTGAGTCAGCTAAAAGTTACATCCCCTGCTAAGAAAAGACATCCCAGGCAGTGAGAGTCTCCCTCCCTCCGGCTGGGGGAACTAGAGGCTGGACATTTGTAGCACTTTGAGACTTGCATTTTCTTCCACTCACCCAGATAGAGATGCCTTGTCTGCACTTTACAGTGCCTGAAATACAGACTGTCATACACTGGCACCAGGGAGGTAGGCTGTGAAGAGTAGCAATGGCATGTATAACCCAAATGAGGCCAGAAGTCCTTCTACAGAGCATGACTTGTAATTTTCATGTGCTGGTCTCAAGAGTGACAGTGAGGCAGCCAACAAGGAAAGTTTCCTCAGGGAATGGGGAAGGGGGGATTTCCAAGTCTGGAATCAGCTACAGAGGAGAAACAGGAGAAAGGATCATTCTGTTAGGGAGGGGTAGAGCAAGAGGAGACAGAGACCCAGGACAAACCAGAGCTGGAATCAGGATCAGGAAGCGGCAGAAGCCCTGAAAGAAAGAGGAGGTCAGAAAGTCACACCCTCCCTGGAGCAAAGGGAAGACTTTAAGGAGGGGAGGGCAGTCGGGGGCATCTGCTTGCACTTAGGTTAAGCAAAGGAGGCCTAAGAGGACTGGTGTCGGCTGGGTCTCAGAAGCCTCTCAGGCAGTGTCAAAAGAGAGGGGAAAGCCAGGGACAGGTTACAGGTGTCAGTAAGGAGGAATCGGGCAGCAGCTGCACCAAGCTTCTCCATGAAAAAGCCACAAGTGAGACAGGTTGGTGGCTGGAGGGGCCACCTGGCAGGATAGGCATAAGAGGGTATGACAGAGAGTTCCAGAATCCTTAGTGCTGGAGGCTGGAGATGGCTTCTACCACAAAGCGACACATCCCCAGATCTCAGCAAGTGAAGGTGAATGGGTGGCAGAGGTCAAGCAGGGACCATGTAGTGGCTGAAAGCAAGGACTCCAGAGATGCTGGGAGCTGGCTCTGGACCCTGCTTTTGCCACTAACTGCCAGTGCGGCCTTCTCTATGCCTGTGCCTTATCTATTCAGTGGGGCTAATGATGGCATGTGCTTCAAAGGCTGCTCAGTGAATAAGAACTGGGGGCCTGGTGGGGCCAAGGGGGACAGCGGGTCATTGAGTCTGTGGTTGGGGGGACGGGGAGGGGATACCTGAGCTTTCCCGGCCCAGGAACGCCTGAGCAAAAATCTCTCCGACCCAGGCCTGCAGCTCTGAATCCTGCTGCACAGACGCGTCACTGGTGTAATAGTAGCCCACAATTTCTGAGACGAAGCTGCAGAAAAAAGATGTCCCTGCTCCAGCAGTGACCCTGGGTTCAGGCTGGCCCCCAAATCAAGGCCCAAGGCTGCTCAGGCTAGTGAGAGCTAGCTGCCCAGAGTCCACTGCGAGTCCATGGAGGTTCAGTGGGGAACCCCATATTCAGTTGGAACTACAGTGCCCAAGCTTCCCTCAAATCTCACCTCTACTCCAGAGTCATGGTTGCTGAGGAGAGCCTGACATGAGGCCTCCCCTCCCCACCTGGGAGAAAGGAAGACCTGTCCACCTGGAGGCCCCACCAACACCGAGCTGTTGCCTCTGCCCTGACCTCTCAGGACTCCATGTCCTTCCCGTCCTCTGCCACATTCACACACAGCCCAGGCCCTCCCCAGCCCAGAGCTACCTGCCATTTCATGAGGAACCCCAACCCCCAACTCTCACCCTTGCAGTGCCCCGTGCTGGGTTCAAAACACCGGAAACCCCCAAGCACCAAGTGCCCCAGCCTACATGAGCACATGGATCCACACTGTCCCCTTGGCCAGGAGGCCCTGGTGGGGCCAGATTGGCCACAGGCCCCAAGCCCACACCTCTCAATAGCTGCCCAGATCTTCAGGCCGTCATCTCGGTAATGGTAGTTGGGGATATCTAGGACACCGCGGGCCCGCAGGCTGTCCGGAAGGCAGAAATTGGTGTAGGTGAAGTGGGCCAGACCGGTGCTCATGAGGTAGAGGAGGCCCTGCCTCCCAATGGACGTGACCTGAGGACACAACACAGCTGGTCACCGCGACCGGCCTAACCCCCACCCCAGAGATGGGACTAGAAACTCAGTAGAGGGAATTTTCCAGTTAATCAAGCATCCAAGACCAAGCATTAAACACCCATAAGGGCAGGACGTGGGCTGCACAGGCTGCAGCCTTACTGCCTGCGTAGGAGTTAATCCTTAGGTGTTTGGTAACTAGAAGAATGAACTGAATCCCGGGCGAGCCGGGAGGGGAGCGCCAACTCGGGGTCAGCGGACAGGTGTGCTCAGGCTGGGGTGCCTTGCCCACCTCCAGGAGCCTTTGGAGTCGGAGCCTGATGAGGAGGGGCGGGTGGAGTGGATTGGAGGGAGGGATACGAGGTTGGGGGCAGGTAGGAGACTTGTGGAGAGGGGCGGGGCTTGTGGAAAGGGGTGGGCCGGGAATGGGGAAAGGGATTGGCGGTCCCACAGGGTTTGTGGGCGGGGCAAGGTGCCCTCGGGGGCGGAGCCCCGGGGAAGGGCTGGGTAGAGGCCGCACCTTGTCCACAAGGCCCTCAGGGTTGAGCAGCGTAGCACGGGCGATGGTGTTCACCTGCAATGTGTAGCGAGTGTGGGGAAGCAGAAGCTGCGAGTGGGATGAAGTCACAAGAACCGAAGGTCAGGGAGAAGGCCACTGTGGCCCTCCCCCCACCCGAGGGTCACCCAGACCTTGTAGATAGGATGGCAGAGAGGCAGCTGACGCAGCGTGGCCATGGCGAAGGCCTCGCACAGCAAATGTGTGCACAAAAAGTGCGTGTTGTTCTCGTGCACTAGGAACTCAGAGTTGCGCACCCATGTCTTCGCCAGCAGCCAGTCCCAGTCGGTGTCAGTGGGCAGGAAGATGGGGCTGTCGGGCCCAGGGGTCTGGCAGAGCTGCATCGAGGAATAAGAGGGTGAGGCTTTAAACTGATAGGTGCCCCCTGAGGCCGCGTTCCCCGAAGCCTGGTCCACACCCCCTCAAAGCCGGCCGCAGACTCACCTGGATGGCCAAGGGCACCAGGGCCCCCTGGGGGTTGAGCCACAACAGGCAGAGCGGGGCAGCCACATACTGGGGGCGGCCGTTTATGCAGTGGACAGGGACCTCCTCCAGGATCCAGTAGTCCGCTAGGAAGATGTTGCCCCTCTGGGGAAGTTGCACAGAGCCTTAGAGTGCCCTCTGCACCCGGCTCTGCTTCCCTCTCTGTCCTCTGTCCACTCCCACTCCAGCCTGGGCCTCAGTGACGCTTGGTGCCTCCACTAAAGGCCAGTGTTGGGAACCTCAGCCTTCCCAGCATGTCCGGAATGAGGTCCAGCTGAATCCTTCCTTGTGCAACCTCTCACCTGGCTTCCCAGCCTCTTGGACAAGCCAGCATCCTCTCCTCTTCTCCCCATCCCTGGTCCTTCCTCTTCTCTCAACTCAGATGACTTGAGTGTATTCAATATCAATAAAATCAACACAGGAAGAGAATTTGCCAACCACAACTCCAGCCTTCTGGAGGATGCCTGAGAGCTTGACTGGGTCAAGATCAGAGACTGGGTGGGTCATCATCTTCTCCCACACCCGCAGAGTTCCTAGTTCTCCAAGATTGTCCTTGCTCTGTCTAGTGGTATTGCCTTTGGCCTGTCCTAAAATGGCTTTCTTTGGGCCTCAGCACCTGGGATCTTGGAGGCCCCAGAACAGGGGCAGGGCATCCTCCTCCAAGCTGTCACATTCATGCATACCAGTTCGCCAGGCCCCATCTCATGCCTCAAGCCTGAGGCCCATCTGCACCTTAACCCATAACTGTTCTGCTTAAAAGGTGCCGGGCTGGGGATGAGGCCTGCAGGCTGGATGCAGCCATCCCACCCGTACCCTCCACACTCGTCCCTTCTCCCTACTGGCAGCTTACCCACCTCTAACTCTGTCTGCAGGCAGGTGCCTGGTCCCAGTGAGGGAGCCACCATGTCGCTGGTGATCGGCAGCTTGCTGGGCAAGCTGGAGAGGCAGTGGAGCATGACTGGGTTGACGCCATTCAGGTACTGGTACCCGAAGAACTGGTCTTCACACCAGTGCTCTCTGACATACTCTGGGGGACGAGAGGGGGCCAGTTGGGCTGAAATCACTTCACTAGATCCTGCTCAGCCCAGCACTTTGCTCATCACTATGGTTTAACCTTTCCTCCCAGCAGTCCTATGAGTAGGTGTAATTTATACCTTCAGTTTAACATGGGACTCTAAGAGGCAGAGTGACTCGCTACTCGCTTAGTTGGGTGGCAGACACAAACATATGTCTGGCCCCAAAGTCCAAACCTCTTGATGGCAGGGGTAGGGGAAGAGAGATGAGTGCACCTGACCAGGATCAGGACTCCCTAAGTGACCCTTGACCCCCGCTCCATCCCCACTTGCCTATTCTTGTCCCCACCCAGAGGAAGGAGAGATGGGTTCCTGAGGGGAGTCTGGGAGAGTGCCCCCAGTGAAGTCAGGAGCCCTGCCCACTGGAACCCCACAGCCCCTCTGCAACTAGAATTCAGCTTTCTCCCAGCATGAGGCAGAGGAGCCTGAGTACAGGGTCCAGTGGAGAATGGACCTCTCCTCCTGGCTCTGCACACCTGAAGTGAGGGTCTTGTGGCAACGCATGATATTCCGGATGTCATCCAGCTTTTTCCAGGAGCCCTTGCGGTCCAGCAACCCTCGAAGCTTCATGCCCAAGGATCTGTGGGAGGGGAAATGGGGCTGGGGGCTGAGGGCTGCCATGGGCACTGTGCCCCCAGCCTAGAGCCCTGGAGGAATTTGACAAGGTCAAAGACCAGAGCAGAGGTGCCTAACGGTCCACGTGGGAGACAAGTCTAGAGGCTAGTTGAGGCTTTGTAAGGGTACTCCACATGTGTGCGCAAAGATGGCACACATAGTGCAGACCAGTTATCTTCATTGGTGTTTCATCATGCTTTCTCCAAGCTCTCATCTTATCATAGACCTTCACTGGCTCCCCTCTGCCCACATGACGAAGCCCTAGCTGCTCAGGCTGCCCTGGCAACTCCCCACCAGCTGATTTCTACAACCTTTCTAGCTTTTTTCCCCACCGTGTGCACTTACCAAGGCCCACCACAGCCTTCTTATTAAACATAGCCAGAGATATACTTTGTACACTGAACTGGTAAAAATGGGCTTGCCAGCCTGCAGGCTGTACTTTTCACTTTGTGGATGTTGGTACTGAGTTTTTGGTGGTTTTTTTTTTTTTACAATGAGCATGTATTACTTGATAATCAGAAGAAAAAAAATGCTTGAAATGAAGTCTGCTTTCTCCCCTGTCCAGGGCTTGTTAAGCTGTGCCTCTCCTAGAGAACCATCTCCTACATCTCCACCTCATATCAAGCCTACATGTTCTTCTGTGTGCATCTTAGATGCAAAGTCCTTCATGAAGCATTGTCTGATCACCCCCCCAAACACACACCTTGGTGTATCTTTCAAAAAATACCCACTACTTCTTTCGTTATATTGTGAACCCTTCATTATGTCACTACTCAAATAAACTCCTCTTATACTGTGGGCTCCTTATGGCCAGGACTGGGCTGTGTTGCCCTGACATACCCAGTTTGTAATAATCACTCACTAGCTAGGCCAAGTCAAATGGAAGGGAATGGAACGGAGGACAGGCAGGTTTGTGGCAGTCGGTCAGTAAAGTAAGCTGTGGAAGGAGGCGGATGTGTCATAAAGAGTGTGGGCACCTGGAGAAGGCATGGGGGCAAGGGGGCAATAGTGACCTGACAAGCCCAGGGACAGGTTCCTACGTGCTCAGTAAGGAGCCACTCACTCCTTCCGCGAGCGTGTGCTGAGTGGCTGCCTGCTAAGAACCTAGGGGATGGGGAAAACTCAACAGGAGTATGGTCATTAAAGCAGAGGCTGAGGAGGCAAGAGAGGACAAAGAAAAGGACTTCCTTTTCCAAGGCCTGCCACTCTCATCCTTTAGGGCACCCTGCAGTCACGCCACACTAAAGCCCAGTGACTCCCTCTCCTCCATAAATGACCAGAGGCTGCCAAATGCCAACTCCTCTTCCCACTGGACCTTCTCTGAGCCCCATACCGGCAGTCCACATGGTCTCCTGGGCCCTCCCCTGCCTCGACCCCCATTTCCATCTGGGGACCAGCTCAGGTGATGCTAGCTACTGAGACTCTCCTTAGTCCTGCCGGGGCCTCTCAGCAGGTCCTTGTCCTGAAGCCCAAGCCCCCTTGTGTCTGCCTGTGGACACACTCAAGCTCCATACCCCTCCTCACCCCTACATCCCCTCCCACTAGTTCTTCTCCAGAAGAACAGCTGTGGCACTGAAGCCCAGAACATGAGGATCCAGCTCCTTGCCGTGGCCTCCTCTGGGCCTCCTGATGCAGCAGGTAGCAGGTGGCTGAGCCCCATAGAAGGACCTGGGTCTGCCCAGGACCCACCCATTCCCCATCTCCTTTCTTCTCTCCCAGCCCAAAGCTTCAATCCCATATGTCTCCCAGCAACCACCTCCCGACCCCTGCTCCTGTCAGGACCAGATGTCAACTGGACCCCCTTCAGCCATATCACACTCAGAACCTCAGACTTGAGCTGCCCATGACCCCACCAATATTAATTAACTGCCTTGCACATACATCTCCCCAGGGGAGCCCGTGAGTCCATCACAACCAAGACTGTATCCTAATACTACAACTTTTTATGCTGGATATTAGCTTTTTTTTTTTTTTTTTGGCTACACTGGGCAGCCTTCAAGATGGGGGAAGCATAGAGTCTTAACCACTGAACCACCAGGGACGTTCCCTGGATGTTAGCTCTCTAAAGTCTTCCCCCACACCTATGAAGTCGGTATGAATATTATTGTCGTAAATGAGAAAACCGTTTAGAGGCTATGTGAAAATCAAGGTCATAAAGCTACAAAGTATTGGCCAGGAAATTGAACCTGAAGTGTCCTGACCACCTCCTTAAATCTTTTTTTTTTTTCCCCATTTATTTTTATTAGTTGGAGGCTAATTACTTTACATCATTACAGTAGTTTTTGTCATACATTGAAATGAATTAGCCCTCCTTAAATCTTAAAGACTGGCCCTCTCCTGCTCAGCCTGGTCCCACCAGCAGTGACTGGGACCGTGCTCTCCTCAGAGTAAGTGCTCAATTAATTCTATTGGTTTGAGGACTGGAAAGAGAAGGAGAGTTTAAGAGCAAAGAGGTGATGATGGGGAGCTAGAGAAGAGTTGCTTAAAAAGAGAGTGGAGATGGGGCGGGGCAGGGGGAGGTGAAGGAGAGACTGGGGGTGGGTGGATGGAGGGGAGACAGGGGCAGAGATGTGGATGTGATCCATCAAAGGGACAGGGGCAGAAGGGCGAGGGAGCAGGAGTGCGGAGATGGCAGTGGCCTCACGCGGGGATGGCGTTGAAGAGCAGCGAGGTCGTCTTGGTGGCGGAATAGCGGATATTGGGCTCCATGTGCAGCAAGGAGGGGATGTCAATTTTCATGGGGAAGCCAGGCAGGTACCGATTCCCACTGCTGGGGAGCAGGGAAGCAGAAGGGCAGAAACCAATCAGAGGGACCTGCAGCCCATTCCCCTTTATTCCTCCCCTCTCTCCTCCCAGAGAGTCCCCAGGCCTCTGCTCACTCCAGGCACCTCCCCTGCCCTTTCCTCTCCTCTCTGCCAGACTGCTGGGGCCATCCCCACCCATTCTGCTCCAGACACTTGAATTAAACTGCATCTGTCACAGACCATGACTCCCAAGCTGCCCAGCCCGGTCCTCACAGCAGACCCTTCACTTCATGCCCTTCCAGCTTCTTCCCCAACTCTCAGTGCCTTCTCACCTGTCACCTGGGCCTGCACAAGGCGCTGTCTTGGTCAAGGCAAATTTCTTATCTGACTCCATCTCCTCAAAGCTGCTGACATCTATAATGCGGGGAAAGCCAGGGGCGTAGACTTTCCAGCTTCCAAGGGAAAGAGATTGAAGTGGCAAGTGAAGCTTAGGGTAAACAGAAGCCTTAGCTTTTAAAGACACAACTTTAAATTAAAATTCCCAGAAACCACCCACTGTCTGAGCAGGTATGGTTGTTTTTTTCCCTAAAGACACTGGGCTTCAGATCTGGGTAGCATTTGAGGATGGCATGAATATCCAAACTGGTTTAGAGTTGGGTTTGTGTTGAGATCAAGATCATGCTCGTTTGGGGGTGAGGCTCAGGATGGGCTGAAGTTGGTCAATCCTAAGGTCATGTCTGGTATCTGGGTCACATCAAGGACAGCTGGGGGTTGAGTGTGGATCCATTGATGGTCTTGGGGACAATTATCAGTACTGGTGTTGTGGGCCTGGACTCAGGGTCAGCATTAGATTGAGGTTTAAATGAGGGTGGTGATCAGAGTTGGGCCCCCAAAGTTGGAACTGAGGTTAGAGTTAGTAACAGTCTGATTAAGGATCAGGTCAGAGTAAGATGGGAAGGAAGTCAAATTAGGCCACCCTCACCGGTAGCATTCCTGTCGGGCCTGGAGTTCCCGTTTCCTGTGATCCAGAAGGAGGGGAAGGGAGTCCTGACAAATAGTTCTTGCTGTGGGTAATGAAGATTACTCATTGGTAAGTCTCTTTTCAAATGACACCTCCTCCAGCATGCCTTTCCTGAACCCCCCAACCCTTGAACCCAATCCCTCAGGGACACAGTTGTCCCCCATTCTTTGTGCATTCATCAGTAGAAAGGGTTTGGGACACCCTTAACCCCAGATTATAACAACTCCCTAATTGTTTGCATGTGTGTCTCCTTTTCAAGACTACAAACTCCTTGGGAGCAAAAGTCACATGGTATTCATTTTTTGTATTCCCCGCATCCAGCATGGTGCCTGGCACCATGCACAAAATGCACGCTTGCCACAGGACTGGTGAACAAACATGTTTTGTGAAGTGACGGGTGGATGTGTTGTGGTGACAGATAGGGGTTTGGAGTGCAGCCTGTGAGGAACTCAGTGTCAGCAAGGGTAATGTTCACTCAGCTCACCTGACCTGACATCATCTCTCAGCCCTAAGATTCGTCTCCACACTCAGACTCACCCTAGTCTTGCCAGTCTCAGGAGATGTGTGTGTGGGGGCAGGGGGTGTGTGTGGCCAGAGGCTGAAATAGCTTCAGTCCAGCATCCTTCAAAGCCCCCCACCCAAATTCAAGAAAGAACCTGAACAGCACCTCACAGAACTTCATCCACAGCAGGAAAGCCAGTACTAGTGGGCCAGGGTCTGTCCAGTTAAATTCTGTAAACATTCAGGGCTTCTCCCAAGTTAAAATTCAGTAACTCCACTTGCAGATTAACTCCTCTCAGAGGAATTGACTCTGGGGAGGGAGCAGGGTGACAGTGGTGAGCATACTGCCATCTCTGTGTGTTTCTGTGCATGTGACTCTGAGTGGTATGAGTGTATGTGAGAGTGCACACCTAGACTGAGTGTGTCTCCAGAGGGGTACATACTGCCCAGAAAGTGCCTGCATTTCAGGGTGTTCAAGGCTTGAATTTTCAGAAAGCACCTACTTGGGATCCCTGAGTTGCAGTTACCCTAACTCCAGCCCTACTCTTTACGCCCTGGGCTCTGTGAGAGCCACCCCCCACACACACCCCCACCACCTCTGCTGCGCCTGGTCCCAGCAGATGCTTCTGAAGCCCAGGCCAGCCCCTGCCTCTGCCACACCTGTTCCTGGTCGAAGCTCGATGGTGCAGTAGCCCTCCATCCACTGGTAGCAGGGGAAGTGGGAAAGGGTACCATCGGGGGCAGTGACGCAGATGCAGCTGCAGTACCAGGAGTCCTGGGGGAAGAACGCATAGCGCTCTTTGTGGAGCCGCAGCATTAAGAGCTCACCCAGCTCCTCTGAACAGCGCACCTTATACTTCTGCACCTAGGGTGGGGGCAAGAGAGCAAGCCGGTGAGAGGCAAGGAACAGCCAAAGTTGTCCTGCACCTTGAAAAGTGCACCTACACCTGCGCCTTCTACACCTCTGCCTCCCCTGACATGTGCACTCAAGCTGGCTGTACCCCATGCAGTGCCTTGGCGTGAATTACAAAAAGGTATCCTTCATCTGGCAGAAGCTGCTGCAGGAGCCCTGTGTGAACAGGGTGCATTCTGGCTCTCCCGAGCCTCCTTCGAGCCCCCACCTGATGTCGGCCACCCACCAACAGAGGCAGGTAGACTCCTCTGGAGAAGAGGAAACCCAAGCTCAGAAGGGGCAAGCAGCTTCCCCAAAGCCCACCTTCAGTTATTGGAGAAGGAGCTAGGAAGTCAGTGGAATTCTCTGGAGCCCCTGTCCAGGGCTCCTCCTTCACAGCCCTGCCTGGGTAGGGTTTATGATTCCCAGGAAAGGCAGGGACCAGAACGGGGACCATCCTGAGTTCTGCAGGATTTGATGAGCCTTGAGGGGAAAGATCCTCCCCTCCTTCAGGATTCCCTGCACCTGGTGGCCCTCAGGGCCGCCGCCTCCCTCTCTCCTCTACTCACCGATCCAGAGGCGAAGTCCCTGCCCATGCGATCCAGTCGCTGCTTGGGGCTTTCACCACATGTGCCCACCAGTGTGACAAAAATGTTGTCCAGTGTGCCAGCCATCAGGTAGGGACCAGTGGTCACACACACGCGGTACAGGGCCATGGTGGGAGAGAAGGGATGCCCCAGCAGCTGGCCTGGAGGAGGTCAGCCACAGACCAGGCAGGGCTGAGCTCCTGCTGCTGAACCGCAGGCCCTGGTGGGCAGGATGGGCCTTTGAGGGAAAGCCCAGCTCTCTCTGGGATGCTCTAGGGCCCACTCGCTGGCTCTCTGTCTCTAGAAGCACTCTGTCCTTGCTAGCTGCGGGCTGGCTCTTCCCGCCCACAGCCTTTCTCCCTACTAGTTGCTTGTTCGCCTCTGGCAAAACCGGTCCCTCTGACTGGCAGGACCAGGTTCACCCAGATAGCTATCAGGAGCCCAGGTCCTACTGGGAAGGGAGGGACCAGATGCCAGAGGGAGACAGGCATTAGGTGACGCCTGCATGATTGGGACATTGATCTGTTCCTGGTCAGAAGCCAACTGATGCCCTCGGGCCCTTGTCCGCCCACTCCCCAGCCTCCCAGAAAACCTTTCCTCCTCTCTCTCAGTCAGAACTGGGTACAGGGCACCAGCATTTCTAATTGTGAATCATCCATGTGAATCACTATACACGAGTGAGCCATAAATCACACGTGACTACAGCCACACGCGAGTCCAACATGCATCTCTGCACATGGCATAGGGGTCATAAACAGCCCTCCTGTCACCTCCTGAAGTTGGTACCCCCCTCACCCCCAACCCGGCCCTCTGTGTCCCGGATCTATGGCACGGCAGAACTCAGTGCCTCTTCCTTGAAATGTGGAAATGTGGCCGATCTGGGGACAGAAGTGGTCTCTGGGAGCACAGCATCTGAAGGTCTCATGTGGCATTCTTTTCTCTCCGCGGGCCGCCCTTGGGCTTGGGGCGGTAGGCAGGAGAGCCCAGGTACGTGGGGTGCCTGGATCTAGGTCGTCGGACTGGGAAGAAACCCATCCCAGAGGGAAGCCCTCTGCAGGAAGCGCCCCCGCGCGGCCGTGCCGACGCCGCACCCACCCAGCTTCCGCGACTCTTAGGCTCTAGCGTCCTAACTCTTGCTGTGCTGAGGAGGTTCCTATAAAAAGCAATCACTGGCCACTGGCTGGCTTCACCTGCTTTCTCTCGGTTTCTTCCGGAGTCCCCTGCGTGCATCCATACTGCGCGTTCGTCGTTGTGCGAATGAGTTTCGTCAGTACAAAACTCTTATAGAAAGTAGAAGAAAGTCCGGGAGAGAGCCCGGATAGCTCAGTCGGTAGAGCATCAGACTTTTAATCTGAGGGTCCAGGGTTCAAGTCCCTGTTCGGGCGACTGCTTTTTCTCTACTGCTGCATGACCTAATCTTCAGATTTTTTCGGTACCGTAAATATTTGTATTCCTTCGAACATAACAGAGGAAAAGAATAATGCAAGTTATTCTTTGGTGTTAAGAGGGAACGAAATTAAAGTACATCCCGGTTTTATTCAGAAGGCAGAAGGAACGACAGTGGAGTGAGAGCAGAGCTGTTTTAGAGCCGTGCACATGCGAGCCATACGTGTGAATTTAATTTTACTAGGAGTCACACGTTATCAGAAGAGTAAAGAAATAGCTGAAATTTAAAAAATAAATAGCTGAAATTATTTTTTGAAATTAATTTTAGTAAAATGTTATTTAACCCAATATATCCTGTCTTATTTTATCATGTAATCAATATTTTAAAATGATTAATGAAATTCAAACTTTTTTCATATTGTCGTTTAAATTACGGTGTGTATTTATAATGAAAGCACATTTAGATTCATATTTCAGGTGCTTGATAGTGGTATTCGTCTTATCCAACAACTCCGTTCGTTTTGCTTTGTCCCTTAAGTGGCAAAGCAGTGCGAAGCAGACTAGGAAGTTTGATAATATATATATAGTCTCTGAAAAACAGTGGAGTGTCGTTGGTTCCATGGTGTAATGGTTAGCACTCTGGACTCTGAATCCAGCGATCCGAGTTCAAATCTCGGTGGAACCTTTAATTATATTTTCTTTCCACTCCATACAAGCGTTAATACCAGTATTATTCATGAGTTTTGTGTATGATATTCTCTTATGTTCTGAAAGGATCTGAAAGAAAATTAAGTTGGATCTTACCTTTTGAGCTTTCCAGACTAGATAATTCGAGCCTCTACCACGCCGTTAGGAGAATTTACAGAGTCACTTCAATATATAGCAGATTGCACTAGTTTTGAATATTATCTTAATGACATGTCAAAGCGGAGATCGATAATGGAGATCCGAGATTTTTTTTTAGAAGTTTCCATTTTGTATTAATTTGGGGCTGGGATGCAGACTTAAATTCTGTCTGGAATACAAATTGGTGAGGCCGCTACCAGGAGTTTTCATAAAAGTAAATTATATTCTAGAAGGAACTTCCTGAATGGTGCTTACACTTGAGAAGGGAAAAAGAAAAAACAAAAACAAAAAAAAAAAAAACCTCTGGTCTGGCAGCGGTGGGATTCGAACCCACGCCTCCGAAGAGACTGGAGCCTAAATCCAGCGCCTTAGACCGCTCGGCCACGCTACCTGCGTGGGGGACAGCCCTCCTCACAGTCCTCCTAAGAGACTAGAAGAGAGGCGGTGGCACTACGAATGATTGTGCTAAATCGGCTGCTTTTCTTAGAATTATGGAGATTCCTTCGGACAGCAGAGCAGAAGATGACAAAGCAGACAGACCAGAAGAAACAAAGGTACACAGAAATTCACAACAAAACAAGTTTATTCTTACGGGTGGGGCCACATCCGGGAGTGGGGTGCGCCTGAACTAGAAGCATTCCCCAAACCTACAGCTGGAGCTCCATACTTGCTCGCTGGCTCATATTCCGTTGTGCTGTCTCCTCCACGCCTGTGCGCCCTCACTCCCACTTCGCTCACACGCTTTACGCACGCTGCCTCTCCCAAGGAGTCCTCTGAGGTCCAAACCGCGGGCTCCTGTCACGCCCCGCCCAATTCCCTCACAACCCTCCCCCTCCCCCCGCCCTCTTCCCATTCTAATACCCGTAAGCCGTCGGACGTTGCGGCCCGCCAGGTGGCTCTGTGGCGCAATGGATAGCGCATTGGACTTCTAGTGACGAAAGAGCGATTCAAAGGTTGTGGGTTCGAATCCCACCAGAGTCGATTTTATTTTATTATTTTTTTTTCTTTTCCTCTTTACCCGGCTTTTTCTTAAAAGGCTCCCACCCTTCTCCCCCTACCCTATTTCAGTGTTTTCCAGCTGGTTTCAGTTCCCACCTCAGCCTCCGCTCTGCTCTCCTTTTTACTTACCTGTCTGCCCCGGGGCTTGGGCTGAGGAGAGCAGGACTGGGGGCGGGAAACAGGGGGGAGGGAAAGTGGGCGTGGACGCCGAGATAAAGGCAGGCCCCTTGGCTCGGGGACACACGGGGATTTGATAACCACTTTATTCCATGCACTAGGGACTTGGGAAGGGACTGGGGCTGGGCTGGGGGCGGAGGGTACAATCCTAGACGCCGGGGGGTGGGGGTGGGGGCAGGGAGAAGGGACAGGAACCAGGGAAATATATATTTATATAGATACTCTAATATAAACCACATCTCACCCGCGCGCGGCGCCCGCGCGCCCCGCCGCCCTCCCCAACACCTCACCCGGACGCCCGGGTCCCTCTGCTGCCCTCGGGCTGGAGTCTCTACCCCTCCCCCCAGCCCCCGCCCCCACCCCCACCCCTCAAAGCTCAGGGCCAAGGTCTCCAGAAAGCGGGCGGCGGGGGCGGCGGGGCCTTGGGCGCCCCGTCTTGTCTGTGAGGCGGCGGCGGCGGCAGCAGTCCGGTGAGGGGGGCCGGCGCGCCGGAATCACCGGCTCGAGGGGAGCAGGGGGACGGGGACCGCGCGCAGCGCGGGCTGGGGGGGCCCTTGTGAACTGGGGGACGCTGGTGGAGCGCGGGGCCGGGCGCTGGGGCGGCGGGGTCCAGCGGTAGGCGCGGCGCGGGGGGCCTGGGCTCTCCCGGTTCCGGCCGGGGCGGCTTGGGGCGCAGGTAACCGTGCAGCGCGGAGAAGAGCTGGGCGCGCGCGGCCGGGCTGGCGTCTTGCGCGAAGGCCGCCAAGCGGAGCAGGCACTCGCGGAATCCCGACAAGTAGCAGCTGGCGAGCGCCTCGGCGTCCTGGGCTGGGGATCGGGGAACCCCTGAAGGTGCGGCCGGCGGGAGGACCGGCGGGCCGGGCAGGGGGTCCCATCGGGGGAGAGGGAAGGGGCGGGGCGCAGAGATACCGAAGCCGGACAGGCGCAGAGATAGAGACAGGAAGCCAGATGGACAGACAGAGGGAGAAGAAGAGGGAGACACAGAGACAGACACGCGCGGGTGTTATTATTAACCTCGCCTCGGAGCAGAGCCTGCCACTCCCCAAGCCCACCGTCCTCCGCGGGGTCCTCCCCGTCTACCCAGACCCGGGCCCCAGTGAAACCCCCCACTCCCTCCCTCCGCTGCCCCACCCCCGCGCTGTACCCGGGGGCTCCACCCGGCTTCGCTCCCTCAAGTAGCCCACGGCGAACTCCAGTATCTCTGCTTTCTCCAGCTTCGGGTTCCGGAGGTTCTACAGATGGGAGGGGAGGGCGCAGAGACAGAAAGGGGTGGGGAGAGAGGGGGAAAGTGGCAGGGGGAAGAAGGGAGGGGGATGCGGGAGCTGGGGGTGCCCCCGGATCGCGTTTGCGCGCGGACCGTAGAGTGCGCTATGGAACACCGAGTGGAGATGACCAAGAACGGTCCTGGCCCACCCTGAGACGAAACTGTCCAAACCGAGGGGATGAAACCAACCCACAGTGCGAGGGAGGGGAGTGAAATTAACCACCAGCAAACCTAGGGAGTGAAATTAACCACCCCGCTACCTATCTTGGGGAGGGGTCGGAGGTGGGGGGGAGGAAGGAGAATTTACAGACCCAAAGATTGAAACTGACTGACCCTGCGAGTGAAATTTAGAGCCGGGTGTTGAAACTTGCAGACCCGAGGGGTAGCGATGAAGATCGCGTTCTGAGAGCGGGAAAGGGGGCTGGGCTGGAATTCCAAGGTCCCTTGGGGCCAGGGTCTCCAAGGCAGCATATGTCCCTACCCAAGTGGGAAGCCCTGGGACACGAGGACGGAATGTCTAGGGGCCGGGTGATGGCAGAAGAACTGACCTGGTCCCGGGTCCGCTCCAGCAGCAGCAGCCTCAGTTCTTCCAGGCTGCGGTTGATGCGGTCCCGGCGCCGCTTCTCCACGAGCGGCTTCAGCATCTGCGACCAGCAGGAAAGGGAGAGCGGGGCCGACCCGACCGAGACTCAGCGCGGCCGCGGGGGCGTCGGGATCCCGCCGCTGGGATAGGCCGGCCTCCACCCCTTCCCCAAGACCCCAGAGAGCCTAGGGCCAGACCCATTCGACCCCTCTCCAATCCCCCTCCCAACGCCCCTGGAGTGAATTTCTGTAGCTCGCCTCCTCTCTCTCCCGGGTCTTCTGCTTTCTCCTCTCTCACTCTTGTCCTCCCTCCTCCCCTCTCTGTGTCTTTCTTCCTCCTCCTCCTCCTTTCTCTCTACGTCTCCGTCTCGTGCAGTCTTTCTCTGTCTCAGTGGAGAACTTTGGGGGCCCTCTTTGCGCCCAGACGCGTGGGCCGCAAGGTGCCGGGCTGAGCTGGCGGCCCTGAGTGTAGAAAGGGAGACACCCAGCGCGCCCGCGCCTCCTCCTCTCCCTCTAACCCGTCTGTGCGGTCACCCTTCTCCACTGGTTCTGAAGTCTTCCACCCGGGCTCGGGCCTCTGGAACCTTCTCTTACAAGGCTGCATTGGGTCAGCGCCCTCTCACAGCCCGCGTGGAGCGAGTGCCCATCCTCTCCGGTTTTTGTCTAACCCTCCTCCCTTAGCTCTGTGCTCCTCCTGCTTATTTTACTCAAATTCTGCCGCCGCCCACCCCAAGCCCTCGAAGGCACAAGGTGTCAACTGCCATCACCCACACCCAGACCTCTGCCTCTGCCGCCCACCCAGTTACAGCTCTGACGCTGACCCCTTCTCCACAGTTTGCCGCTTCCTCCCCAGCCCCTGGCTCCTCGGGTCCACCCTTCTAGCCCCGCGTCTCCAGCCTCTTCCCTGACCCTCAGGGACCCTGTCCCCTCCTCAGTCCAGGGACCTCTGCTCCCTCCCCGCCCTCCTCTCACCTTGGGGCCGTCCCTATTCTCGGCTCGATCCCGGGTGACCATCGCTCCTCCGGACCCTAGTGTGGACCGAGTCTCCGCTCTCCTTGAGTCTTATATCTCGCAGGCCCCGAGTAGGGGGGAGGTTAGGACCCGGGCCCGCCCCTTCAGAATCCCACAGGACTCGACCCCGGGCACGAGGCTCCCGGAAAGGGGAGGGGCACAAGGGGGAGGAGGAAAGGTGGAAATGGCCTGGGAGTGTGGGAAATGAGGGGCCGGTGCGGCACCGGCTGGTTTAAGGATCATAAGGCTGTATAATGAGGCGGGAACCTAGCTGAAGGGAAGTTATTAGAGGAAGAGGGAGTTGGAGTAATTTGGGGACAGAACTCAGGAAGGGAGTTCAGAGTTCCCCCACCCCGCACCCATTCATTATCTCAGCTTTCTTGGGAGCTCACTGTACCCCCACTAACACTGAAATAAAAAGTTAGCACCCCTCAGCCCCTAAGCTGGATCCTATACACCTTTCCCCCCAAAGTCACCTCCTATTTGGGATAGTGAGTCACCTGAGTGTGCTGGCTGGATCTAATTCACCAGGGACTTTGTCTGGAGGTGGAAGTAGCTCTGTGCGCTCTAAGTCAGTCATATTCAGTTCCCCCAACATCTATGCACTCATTGTGACCACTGGGCACTGGTCTAGGCTGGGACCCTTCATGCTGAGATATAGGCTGGAGGCCTAGTTTATCCCTGCAAGTTCCAGTGGAAGAGGATGTGTTGTCAAGTAGCTATTTTAGAAGGACAGTGAAGTAGGTGCTCAGGGAAAGGGTCATCATGAGGGATGGCTCGACTGGGGCAGGGGGAAGCCTCATGGAAGAGGTAGGGAGGCTTTGAAGCACCGGTGGAAAGGTCTTTCCAGTTAGAAGTATTTGACTAAAAACTAATCATAGAAGATTCAGGCCCACGGCTGCCAGGTCATCACCTGACACAAGTGTGCTCCGGGGTTCTTTACTCCTCTGAACCCCTCGTTATTATAGAGGGGCAAAGAGCGGGCAGTTTTCTTTAAAAGATAAAAGAGGGAACAGAAAAAGGGATCAACACCCACCTCAAACCAAGAGCATGACACTCTGCGGAATGATGCCTGAGACTTGGAGACTTCAGGACAAAGTGCCTGAGAAGATAAAATCAGAGATTTAACGGGTCGGCAAGAACGCCAGGGAGGGACACAAAACAGGGTTGCAGACTGAGTCAGAAGACAGCTTCGCAGTCAGAGACGGATGGGGCTCCTCCGACACCTCCCAGCTCCCTTCCACAACTTGGTTTTTTCACGGAGCCTGTCTTGCAAAGTCCAAGCTAGAGGAGCGCAGACCTTGGGGAGGGCGCTCCCATTTGCAGTCAGGAAGCCCAGCACATGCCACCTCCCGCTACCTGAGCCAAATGGGAGCGCAGATGTATGGCCTCAGAAGCCCCCGCTGCCCCCCTCCTTGGGAACCTGGGCTCGGGCTGAGTTTTTGTCACCTGCACGCGAGGCTCGGGGCCCCGGGCAGTTCGCACCCGGGTGTGGGGCCGCCCCTGGCCATATGGGGCGACTTTATGGCAGGGTGACCGGATCCAGGCGGAAGGAAGGATGACTCGGGGCTCCACCCACGTCTACTATTGGGACTGTTCCTCTGCCCTGCCTCTGGCTAGAAAGTCAGTTGAAGATGGTCGCCACGATGCTTTACAAGATGAGATAGATCCACCAAGCATTAGAACGTGCCTGCATTGGTGGTTCAGTGGTAGAATTCTCGCCTGCCACGCGGGAGGCCCGGGTTCGATTCCCGGCCAATGCAATAGGTGTTTTTATTTTTTCCTTTCCCCAAAGATGTCTGTATTTCTTGTTTAAGATTTCTACCAAATATTAATATTTAACTTTTTTACCTTGTGTGAAAGTATGAGACTTTGGGTCGAGAGCCTGATTCCAAACGTCCTCACACTCCCATCCTCCCAGCGTGGGATCCGGCTTTCCACACCGCTCCTTCTACCCCCGCCTCCCCGCCCGCACCTCCGCAGGCGTGACCCTGAGAAAGGACCGCGCGAAGGGATCCCTGCCCCGGGGGTCCTTTCAGCCCTCCTCGGGGGAGACGCGAGGTCGTCCCTGCCCTCAAGTTCTAAGACCCTGGCTTTTCATTCCTTTCCTCTTCCTCGCCCTTTCTCTTATTTTCTATCCTCTGGAACCCGGTTTCTTATTTCTAAGTCCACGGTCACGGCCTTTTTTTGTCCCGCCGTCTTTCAGCGTCTCTGTCTCCGTCTTTTTCATATTCTTTCCAGGTCGCCTGACTTCTGCGCTGGGTCTCTCTGGGTCTTGCGTGGTCTCTGCATGTCTGGCTCCGGGTCTCCCGGCTCTCTGGGATGGTCCCTCCAGGACTCCGTGGCCGCTTGGCCCTCTGCGCTCCCACGCTCCGGCCATCCCCTGGGAAGCTCGCTCACACCTCCAGGTTCCTGCCACTCCCCGCCCGCCTCTTCCCGGCCGCTTTGATCCCGCACGCGTCGGGTCAGCAGGTGGCCGGGCTCCCGCCGACTGCCGCGGCCACTTGTGAGTGAGGGCAAGGGGCCGGGTCCCTCGGGCTCCGGCGCTGGTTTTCCTCCGGCTTCTCCCGCCCTCGACTTCTCTCCGCGCCCCTCCTCCCGACACGGGCTCAGGCTGCTGCGGACCCGCGTCTCTGCGCCACTGAATCTGGGGTCTGCATCTTGTCCGTGTTGGTCCCTCTCTCAGGAACTCGCCCGGAGTCCGTGTCTCTGTCTCTGGATCCTGACTCCAGTCTTTTTCAACTTCATCTGGGCTAGGCTCGAAGTCTTCCTTTTCCATCGCTGGATTGTGTGAGAGACTGCGAATGCTCTCTTCTCAATTCTAAGCCATGACAGTGGCCCCTAGAAGAAAACTACAACAGTCTGGACATTTGTATGTCTATGTGAGCAGCCCCTGTACTCAGTCACAAAGCCGCTATTTCTGGCGTGCCTCTTGTGCACCAAGTGTTATTAGGTATTGAGGGTACCTTGGATCTGAACTCTCCTGTTACTTACATTATGGTGGGGGGAGGGGAAACCGAAAATGACTAAGAAAACAGAAAGTAATATAAGATGGCTATGAGGGTGGGGGAGGGGCAGCCCCGTCCTGGCAATGACTTGAGAGTGCAGGGCTAATTTACTCTGGTGATCATATAATAGGGAAAATTTTGTGTTCTATGACAACTTAATCACCAAAGGGATGTTGCCTATAAGCTTAAGTTACACATAATGGCCCATCTTTGGGAGCCCTGCCTCCCAGGTAATGAGCATTAAGTTAAAATACCTTTGTTTAGCTCCCAGGAAACATCCTGACCTGGACTGCCTGTCAGCGCCTGCAGGAAGAAATTAACACAGTCTTGACCAAAACCAATACATGTTTAACTTTATTTCTTCCCCTTTTTGGTATACAAGAAGCCTGAATTCTAACTCAGGCCAGATGGTTCTTTGAAACAGGAGTCCACCATCTCCTTGGTCTGCTGGCTCTCCAAGCAAAGTAGTTATTCCTCTCCCCCTAACAACTGTCTCTCTCTCTCTCTCTCTCTCTTTTTTTTTAACTGTCTTTCATTTTATCGGCTTGTAGCTACAAGCAGTGGGAGCTTCGACTTGGTAAGCCAGTCAAGAGCCTTGCTGATCATGGCCACCCGGGCTTGGTTGGGGAATCCTCCAGTAAGCTGCCAGGACCAACTGTCCGGAGGATCTGCCCTTCAGAATTCCCTGGGAGAGTATGGAGTGCCCCAGCACTTGACAGCAGAATGGACATTTGAGAGCTAGCAGGCTCCATACTGTTGGGTAAGTCATTCTGGTGTCTACAGTCAGAAACCTTATTTCCTTTCTTTGGGACTTTTTCTCTGGAATACGCCAATTTGTTTTGTATTTTAGTAAGTACCTTGTTAGAGAGAGGCCAGCGTTGTTGAAACTTTTACCTGGTTTGTGAACTAATTCCTTAGTTTCTTTGGATGCTAGCATTTTTGTGTGCCATTTGTGGGGTTTCTTTGTCTTGTACTTCTGTATTTTAAAATGGGAGAAGGGACTTCTTGGTAGTCCAGTGGTTAAGAATCTGCCTTGCAATTCAGGGGACACTGGTTTGATCCCTGGTCAGGGCGACTTAGCAGCAGCAGCAGGGAGCTAGGATCCTACATGCCTTGGAGCAACTAAGCCCACTGGCGCACCACAACTACTGAAGCCTGTATGCTGCAATGAGTCTTTAGTCCAGTTCAGTCACTCAGTCGTGTCCGATTCTTTGCGACCCCATGAACTGCAGCATACCAGGCCTCCCTGTCCATCACCAACTCCCGGAGTCCACGGAGTCCACCCAAACCCATGTCCATTGAGTTGGTGATTCCATCCAACCATCTCATCCTCTGTCATCCCCTTTTCCTCCTGCCCTCAATCTTTCTTAGCATCAGGGTCTTTTCAAATGACTCAGCTCTTTGTATCAGGTGGCCAAAGTATTGGAGTTTCAGCTTCAGCATCAGTCCTTCCAATGAACACCCAGGACTGATCTCCTTTAGGATGGACTGGTTGGATCTCCTTGAAGTCCAAGGAATTCTCAAGGGTCTTCTCCAACACCACAGTTCAAAATCATCAATTCTTCGGTGCTCAGCTTTCTTTATAGTCCAACTCTCACATCCATACATGACCACTGGAAAAACCATAACCTTGACTAGATGGACCTTTGTTGACAAAGTAGTATCTCTGCTTTTTAATATGCTATCTAGGTTAGTCATAACTTTCCTTCCAGAGTAAGCATCTTTTAATTTCATGGCTGCAGTCACCATCTGCAGTGATTTTGGAGCCCAGAAAAATAAAGTCTGCCACTGTTTCTACTGTTTCCCCATCTATTTGCCATGAAGTGATGGGACCAGATGCCATGATCTTAGTTTTCTGAATGTTGAGCTTTAAGTCAACTTTTTCACTCTCCTCTTTCACTTTCATCAAGGGACTCTTTAGTTCTTCTTCACTTTCTGCCATAAGGGTGGTGTCATCTGTATATCTGAGGTTATTGATATTTCTCCCAGCAATCTTG